GGGGGGGTGCCTTTGGGATATATTTTGTATCTGACAAGTGGAGTCTCTCTGCTCTCTGATCATCATGTGAGCTGCTTCCCTTTGCCATATTCTTTTGCCATGATGTTCTGCCTCACCTCAAGCCATGAGGAATAGAGCCTGCTATCTATGGACTGAGATCTCTGAAACTGTGAGCCCCTAGATAAATCTTTCCTTCTGTACAGTTGTTCTTGTCAGATCTTTTAGTCACAGCATTGAAAAAGCTGACTAAAATGCTATGTATACAAAACAAGTCCAATCACTCTACCACAAAAAAAAATAAAAGGATTTTTATACTAGATGGCTGAATTTTTTTTAAAAAAAATGTGATTTCTCTTACATTGCTCCCACTATCCAGGCCCCTAAAGCAAAACCTTCAAGCATTAAAAGTGAAAATCTTCTAGTTTATACCTACAGAGGAATGAAATATTTCCTAAGGAATGAGGAGACTTACCTGGAAGCAAGCAACTCCAAAGGAAATTCCTGCAACAACTCCCATTTCTGACTCTATAATGGTCATCACCTTTATAAAACAACCCTAATGGGAGGGGGAAAGATCATTAAGTACAACACAAGTAATCTGTTTTTCTATATAATACTTTGATCATATAGCTTTTGCAGAAAGATGAGCTTTAACTACTATTAGCCTATCATTTTTATTGAAGTCTCTTTTCCTGTGTATGTTCTCAATCCCAACTATTTCCAATTTTCAATTATAACTTTGAAAGTATTACTTGCTTATTGCATGAAATCAAGTCATCACCTGCCTGCCTACTTCAGATTATGAGTATTAATGTGAGCAAAAATTAAATTACATCAACTCTGTATTAAGCCCTCAAATATTGTCAAATTAATTCTAAATGGCTCCTTGCAGGGGGCATGGTGGTGCACACCAGTAATCCCAACAGCTCAGGAAGCTGTGGCAAGAGGATCATGAGTTCAAGGCCAGCCTCACCAACTAAGAAAGGGCCCTAAACAACTTAGGAAGACCTTGTACCAAAATAAAAAAATAAAAAGGGCTGGGGATGTGGCTCAGTGGTTAAGCAACCCTGGGGGTTCCCTTATACCAAAAAAAAAAAAAAAAAAAAAAAGATTCCTTACTTCATTGTTTACTTTATCTGCATCTTTTTGTGGAGAACAATCTTCAAGTTTACAGCAACTCTTGGGAAATCCTGTTTCTATGTAATATTTTGTATCTTTCCAATCATTATAATCGGTGACACCGCAACAATGCAACTGAAAAATCCAACAAAACATAGTTCATATTACAACTTGGGAGTCAAATATTTAGCCTGACATCATCTTCTAATGAAATTTGTGCTCAAAATAGCATTTATTGTATTCAATGATCTCTCACCTCAATTGATTCAAGAGATTTTACTTGGTTCTAACACCAAGCATGATAATTTTGGACTCACCTTACTTTCCTGCTATAGTAGGCACTAACAGTATTTGTCTATAATGTAGGTGGGAAGGGAAAAAACATGTACAGAAGTGAGAAGAGCCCACATTTCAAGTGAACAATATAGTAGCCTGACTCTATCCTTTTCTCTGAGGCAACATAGGATGTGTTCCCCTCTTTAGAATCCACCACCTATAACCAACTTACCGTACTTTGGATCTTGTCTACTGCTTCACTTCTATAATCTCCCGTCGAGTTGTACTGCTTTAAAGCTTTCTCATAATTAGTCTTAAAGCTGTTCTTAATCTATAACAAAAAAACACAATACCAGTAAACAAATATTCTAGAAAGTTCTTTTGATTTCTAGGGTCAAATAAGAAATTCTTGCATGTATCTTTGATGTATAATAATTAACTTCCATCATCTAGTCCTGTCTTCTTAGGGAATATAGTACAGCTGAGGGTACACTAAGCAAAAACATCACAATGTAAGACAATAACCATGACAATTTCAAAGTGCTGTGAGATAATTTATTATCCAAGTGGCAGCTCTGTACTGTCTGTTCCACACTCCTCACCCCCAATCTTTCTCCACTTTAAACTGACTATAAATTTGATGACTATGGAATGAAGCTACAAAACCTAATTTGGGAAAATGTACTGTTAGACACTCTAATGAGCTTTTGCTATTCACTGAATGATTTCATAGCAACCCCAAGTACCTTTAATTTTCTTTTGATGATTGTCAGTCTACAATTTTCTAAATTTTCATTTATAAAATCAATAAGAGTGGGCCAAAATTTTTACTAGAAAGCCATTACTGTAGGCTAAGATTGAAAATAAGATTTAAATATAGCTTTAAGTGACTTTTAACTATTAAAAGTTATTTAATTCTGCTACCTAATCCATTGTTATTCTTTAGAGGATACGTTTTACTAGATTAAGATTCCCTAAGTCACATTTACCTCATGTCTGAAAACAAATCCTACGATGGCAGCAACCAGTTCGACCAAAAAAATGAGAGTCAGAAACATTGCATACTGTAGGATAAAAAAGAAAGTTCAAGTCAGCATAAATAAGATTTATTACAGCTGCAAAGGGAGGCAAAGGGGGAAATATTGTTCTCAGTCAGTTCAGCATATTTTTTTTGAAAAGGGCAGGTGAAACAGTATCAAAATGTCTACTTTGAAAGTGGAAATTGGAGTGGAGAAGTGTTACTTGGCAAATTTTCATAAGGAACAGGAAAAGTTGTGAAGGGCTGTGGCCAGTTCCAAATGTCTACTTTGAAAGTGGAAATTGGAGTGGAGAAGTGTTACTTGGCAAATTTTCATAAGGAACAGGAAAAATTGTAAAGGGCTGTGGCCAGTTCCAAGAAACAAAGTCCACAACATATAAGACTTTTCTAAAGTCAAGAATCAATTTTACTGAAAACAAGGGCTCACCAGTTTCAGCATCCATGCAGAAGCTCGGCAGGTAGCAAAACAGCCAAAGGTGCCCAAAAGAATAATGACAGTGCCTGTGCCGATGAGCACGAAGGGGACGTTGGTGGCCTTCTCATTTAAAAGTGAAAAATAATTTTCCAGGCTCACCTTGCCCCAAATGCCAACAGCAAGAAGGATAACACCAGTGATCTACATGAGAAATCAGAGAATAGAAAGTTAGCACTGTATACGCTAGCATTTTCAAATCACAAACCAGGAAGTACTTAAGACACAATAGGTGTGAGAACTAATTTAGCAGTCTGATGGCCCAAGCATTGTAGCTAGAATATGGCAGACAAGTGGGGAAGGTGGATGAGGGTATGAAGGGGATCTGCTCATAAATGTAGGCCATAGGCAAAGCAGATTGTCCAAATTCTTTAAATTCATCTGTTTTCTTGTTGTAAAAACAAGCTCATGGTATATTTGCCTGAGGAATGAAAATGTCCTTAACCCTTTTACTCCAGTCTTAAAGAAGAAAACCTTCCTGGAGGGGAATAAAAAAAAAAAAAAAACGTGTTTTGAGTTCCAGAACCACCCCCCCCCCATCCCCACTCTCTATTAAAAGATCTCTCTAGGTTAGGGTTGAACAGGATTACAAAGGGATAGTATATAAAAGCAAATCCAAGAATAGATTGGCGGGAGTGGAGCCAGACTATACTTACCTGTGAGAAACACTCCCCTCTTACGAAGCAGTGAAAAAAAGAAAGACACCAGTAGGCAAGCGAGCCCTCAAACTGGCCGGGCTAGTCTTGCCTCTCCAAATGTTCATGGACACCCCCCTCGCGTGCTCTGGCGGTTTAACTCCCTTCCTCGCCTCGAGCTTCGAACTCAGAACGTTTGTCGTGTCTGTGTCCCAGCTCACCCTTCCCTTACCGTGACCCCGGTGCAGACTCGATGCCCAGCTACTAGTCGCCGGCGCCGGGGGTCCCAAAAGCGACAATCGCTCAAACCCCACCCCATCCTCGACCTGAGTTCCCTCCACTCAGGGTCACACACACACACCCGCATCTAAGCCCGGAATCCCGAGCAGTGCCTGGACGCTTCCGTCTCTCACCCAGAAGATGAAAGTGTAGATCAAGAGAACGCTCTTGAAACAAGTAATGACTGGTTTAGTCTGTAGTCTCCGAGACGGGGACGCCATGACTATCCCGAGACCCTGCACCACCGCACCAGGCGATCGAACAGAGCGAAGGAGACTCCTAGTCCCCGAATTTCTCCGGAAACTTACGAGCGTCTGCAACTGAGAAGAGCCGGAAACACTGTACGATTTTCTAGAGGGTGAGGTGAGGGAGGCTGTCCGGAAAGTGGCGACGATTTCCGAGCACCCCCTGCCGAAGGTTACCGAAAACTGTACACAAAGGTTCTAGTGTCAGAAATATCTTAGATCTTCAGTGGAGCTTGCTTCGGTTTTTTTTTTTCCTCCCGAAGAATCTTACCCGCCCCCCCCACCTTTCTCCTGTCCTCATAACTTCCTCATTGTTTGTATCGTCAGCACCGCCCGCAGTGCTTTATGATTCGGCCTCCCTGGCCACTGCTGCCCCTAGAAGGAAAAACAAAAGAATAAGAAAGGTTAGAAACTATATAAGAACGTTATTACGTGGGAAAATACCCACAAGAAATATATTTCCAAACAAAAACAAGCAGATTGCCAAGCAATACATACAGAAGCATTTGTTTAGACAAAAAGTGAATTTCTGGTGAAATCAGGCTGATTTTACTCCTCAATTTTGCTCTAAATTTAAGAACATTGTTTTATTGTGGGAGTGATAAGAATAAACGGAAGGAAATTATGACTTTTTGAAAGAATTCCAAAGCTAAGTATTAAAAGACAGTAATTTCAAAATGTCCTTCAGGAGTTAGCAAACCTCCATTATCCCACTGCTTTCTTGTCCCCTAAGTCATTGGAAGGTTGAGGTGAATAACGAACATAGAATTCAGCCACTAACTGTAAACTTATAAAAAGGGAGGGTACTACAGAGAATGCCAGGTAAATGTGAGGCCCTCTGAGATGTTAACAGTGAAAAGCACTGTGTATTCCAGTCCCCTGATTCTTCCCATTAAGAACCAACTGATCACAGAGATTAAACCTAACGTCACAAAGCTAATATCACAGTCAAAACTAGAGATTCCTGTGCTTTCTAATCCAGGCTGCTGCTTCTATTTTAACAGATACTTATTATATTTGGTTTTGGGATGTGTTTTGTAAGACTGTAAATTAGTACAACTATTTTGAAAATCATTATGGAGGTTTCTCAAAACACCAGGAATGGAACCACCATATGGGTCCAACTTAGATAAATCTCTTGGTATATATGTAAAAGAATTAAAGTCAGCATACTATAGCAATACATGTATACCACTTTACAGCAACACAATTCACAATAGCCAAGTTATAGAACCAGTACAGATGTCCATCAACTGACAAATGGATAAAGAAAATGTGATTTTATATATATACACACACACACACACACACACACACACACAAAATAGAGTTTTATTCAGCCATAAAGAAGAAAGAAATTATATCCTTTGCAGGAACTGGAGAGCATTATGCTAAACAGTCAAGGGTCACATGTTTGCTCTCATGTGGAAGCTAGAGAGAAAAAAAGGGAAAAAGACAGTCTCGTGAAAATAAAAAGGAGAACAGTGAGTAAAAGGAGACCAGTGAGTAAAAGAGGGAATAGGTGGAAAAGAGGTGGTACTGGGTAATGAGATTAACCAAATTACATCATGTATGTGTATGAATGTGTCACAATGAATCCCACTTTTACATATGATTAAAATGTACCAACAAAAAATAAATAAATTTTAAAACACTCAATTTTCAATTTAGTAGAAAATATATACTTCATGAAACTTTCTCAGGTCTTTCTGCTTCCTCTATAAAAGTATATCCTTATATAGGAAAATACAGTTACCCCTAGGAAATCTGAGTTGAAACTAACAAATAGTATTGATTCATATGTTTCTCTATCCATTCAGTGAAACAGAGCATTGAAGTTTTATAAATGGACATCCCTAGTAAATTATGTCGTTTAAAGTATGAAAGTGAAATCGTTTTTCATCTTAAATCATGTACGTAGGTTCAAGTTTCAGTATGTATCATTAACATATTGATCTATATTGTTATAGCACAGAATGTGTGTTAATGTCTGATTTCTCAACCAAAGTGTAAGTTCTTTGAGGGCAGAAACTGGATGTCAAATAAACGTTATGTTATCTCTAGAGCAGTGGGGTTAGAAGGCATTATCAGTTCCCCATCCATCCAATCTCATCATCATTGACATCATCATTCACATCACAAGGAGCCATTTACTGCTCTGCAATTGCAAAAAGTCCTCTTTTCATGGAGCAGAGGTGGATGCCCAAATTTTTTCTGCTTGAAATTTTGCCTTAAACATATACCACATAACCAGAAAACAGGAAAGTTCCATTGATTTGGTCACACAGAGCTTCACTGTTGCTTTGAATATTGACCTAGGACCAGCTCCTATAATATCTTGCCAGACAACTAAGGTCCAAGGAACAACTATTGGAGAGTGAATTATTGCACTTTCAGTCTTTATCCTAAAATTATAAAGGCCTAACACAAAAAGACATAGAATGGATAAATTACACACAACACACACACACATACACACTCATCCTATGAGGTATCCTTGTACTAAAAACAAGTATCCAAAGAAGTCTTGCTAACTGCATCTTAAACAGAAAGTTTCTTTTGAAGCTTAGGTTTGTACCATGTCCTGGAAAGGGTTTTCACTTTGCGCCTGAGAGCAAAGAAATATTTCCGTGGCTGACAGAAAAACAAAATTGCTAAAAGCAAAAGCCACATCTTATTTCCAAGAATGTGTTGACTTTTCTCCTCACCCTTCCTCTGCCACTCACAACGCTGCTTTGTTTGAACAACATCCTTGCCAAATTAAACCAGAGACTGACATGGAAATTAATATTCCTATGGCCACAACACCTTGCACTAATGCCTCCCACCCCACTACACCCAGTCCCCCTCACCTCCCACCTCTGCCATGCCACCAAACTCAGAAGTTCAGTTCAAACCTAAGCCAATGTCCAGGTCCAAACCCAAACCAAAGGGATACTTAATTCCATCTAAGGCAATTTAAGAAGTGTTTCTCTATTCCATAAGATAATTTTTTTCTTAAAATATTAATAATAACTATAATAGTGAGCACTAACTATGTACCAACCATGGTTGCTAAGCACTTGATACTGGTTACCGTGTGAACACATCAAAAAAGCTCTATTATGAGATCAGCATTGCTACTGCCCTCATTTTACAAATGAAGATACAGGTTTCAAGACACTAAGTAGCTTCCCTAGGACTAAGCCTAGCCTGTGTCTGTTTCCTTCATCAGAAACAGGGCCTACTCTGATGAGACATGGCAGCCGTCGTACAGCTATCTTGGCTCAGAATAACTGGAACAAAGACTGCTGTTGCTCAGACATTTAGCCACAAACAAGGGCTCTTTGGAGCCCCTGAAGCATAAGTAACTTGATGATTACCCCAATTCTGACTTGCTCTTGGGGAGTTTTTGTTGAGGTTTACTCTTGCCTTCACTCGCCTAACACAATTCAACATTTACTAGAGGTTTGTGTCCCTTCCCCATTAACTTCCTGTAACCTTCATGATTAGGTTTAAATGGCTTTCTTTGGCAGACATCAGGCAAGGGAAATGACAAACACTATTTTGCTTTTAAATTCAGACCTCTCCTGTGCCACTCCGACCTTCCACCCCTTCTAAACCCCCAAACACAACACACTCTTAACCTATTCCCCACCACTTTTCCAGTATGAATTTTCTGTTCCATACCAAGCCAATATGATTATCCCCTAAATAAGCAAGGCTTGTTCCCTACTCCCTGCCCACCCAAATCCAATTTCTCCTTCTACTCAATGTCCATCTTCACCCCATGAGAATATTCCCTTCCCACACCCCACCTCTTTCTCTAACATCAGCACTCATAGTCTAACCAACACTCACTCTAATTCAGACCTTTAATCAATCCTATAGTACCTGCTTTACATTTCTACTTACCTACTTTACATCCTGCTGTCTAGATGTTCAGAAACTACAGAAGAGCCAGTGTGGCAGGGCTCCTGCACTTTCTTTTATACCCTCCTGAACACCCTAGGACATAATGCTCAATTGATGAGCTCATTGGGTGCTCAGCCAATCCCTGTTGAGTTCATTGCTCATTAAGGTCTTGGCTGGTCTCTAGAGGTACCTGCACAGTAGTTACTCAAGGACTGATTATTTAAATCAAATTAAAAACTAAGTTTTAAGACACCCCTATATCACACTATCATAAAACTGGAAAATTAAGTTGAGCTGCTAGATAAGGTCTTGAGACATTCCTACTCTGTGTGTCAGGAACCAGTAAAAAGGCATCTGCCATTTCACTCAGAATACATTTTATCACTTATTCACATAATAACCTTTCATAAACACACATAATAAACTTTAATTTTCTAGTCCCTTTTCCAGCATCTCTCCAATTACTCTTTGGCTAAGTGCCTATTATGAAATTTCAAAGTACTTCTTATTTTCTGAAAATGCCATATTTTATGTTATGATCATGTGATACCTTATCTTTTCATCAGTTAATTCATATCCTCAATTAAAAATTAATTTCCTGAATAGTAATATATACTTTATTTCCTATTGTCTCTTGTATGTTCCTGTTATCCTTCCCTGAAATTCTCTTGCTGTGTCCAGATTTTGATCATTTTTTCATCTACTCTTTTCAGATTCTCCATGAAACCTTTCAATCCCTGATATAATCTTCTTCAAAACTCATAATAATATAGTTTGGGACATAAAGGAATGAAAACTCCTTTTTGAATGGTATCAAACTTTATAATCAATACCTGTTTTCTGACAAAGTTGTTTCCAGACAAGCCTCATTGAACTTTGCTGAGATCTCACCTAAGTAAGTCAGTTTCTGTATCTAGTAATTTTTTAAAAAACAATACTTTATTGGCTGCTTTTAAGATTAAGAGTCAAAGTTGAAAATGGTACCAAGCATTAAGAAATTTAACAAGTTTAATATGTATTTTGTCTATGTCTTTGTGTTATCTTCCCATCCAAACCCTACAGATAGGTGGGATTTTTTTTAACTTCCTCACAGTATCTTTGTTCTACACACATAGCAGTTGCTGTAAAAATAAATTTTAAAGTAACCCCACTTGTTTTGGATAACCTCTCCATATTACTTTCCCCAGTGCTTCACAGGAATGCTGTCCTTCTCATATCACTTATCCTATTTATCTCTCTATGATTTCTATATTCTCCCCACTTCACTTTCTTCTTTGACCTTTCTTTGTTTCACTCCCTCTAGCTTTAAGTGGGATTGAAGCCCTATATGCATCTTTGTGTTGGGTGCTTAGAATAAGAACAAGGCTAAAACAAAGCCCTTGCCCTCTAGGACCTCACAGCTTACTAGGGGTCAAAGATAAATTTTTAAAAAAATTTCCATAAGCGCAACAAGTTCTATAATTGAAATGCACACAGTGTGCTGTTAGAGATAAGGCAGGCAAAGTGAACTACCTCTGACCCAGATGAGCTGGAGGAGCCTTCTCAGCAGAAAGGATGCATACAATTTCAACAGGCCAAGAAAGAAGGGAAGGTAATACAGAGTAAATATGTACAAAGGCACAAAAGCATGAAAGGAAGAGCAAGAAGATCCGTGTATCTAGAATGAGGAATCACAAGATAGGTTGAGGACACAGATAGGGTTTGTTTGTGACGGATATAGTATGCCAGGCTAAGAAGGTCAGACTGTATTCTACGCCAAGAGGGAGCCAGTGAAAGTTTATTTTAGAAAGAAAACAACCCTGATAGAATTTATTGCTTTGACTGATCTGTCTCTCATGTTCTCCTCTCTCCCCCCCTCCCCCCCTCACACACACACACACACACACACACACACACACACACAAACACTCATTTCTTATATTTACTTTTTCCTAACATGAATTCAGAATCAACTTCTAAATTGAATCTTCTATCCCAATCCTATTTATTCAATTTTGTTTCCTCTCACTCCCTTGAACCATCTTACCCAAAGGCCCCTCCCACTCTGATCTAACAATGGAGCTCCTATCTATGTCAATTTCTTTGCCTGAGAATAAACCAAAGTTCACCACTCCCCAGACACCTCCCTTCTCTCTCCTTCTAGAGTCCTGAGTCTACACTATAGCTTCTAGCACTTTGTTACTGTATAGTGTTCCATAGTTTTCTAATTATCAGTGTCCCCCTTCTCACCCCTACTAAACATAAGTTATCGGGAAGCTTGAAAGTAAGCTCAAATAAGATGAAGGGTCACACATGCCTTTCTCACCACTGTATCCCATATGCTTGCCTTCTAGTAGATGACCAATAAAGATTCCTGAACACACACAATTGTAATTAAGAATATTTTTGCTTAATGTCTGTCTCCTCCACTCCATAAAGGCAGGGATATTTATACATTTTGTTCATTGATGTCTCTCAAGCACCTAAAACAATGTGAGGCACATAACAAATGCTCAACAAATATTTGTTGAATTAATTAGGATGTCAGGGATTTTGTCTTGTTCCTCACTATATTCACCATCTCTGTGTGACACAGTAGATGCTTGATAAATTTATTGAATGAATTAGGTCAAGATCATGTCTTCTGTTACTCTATTGCTGTCACAGTTTTGAACACATGGCACATATTCAATATGTATTTGTGATTAATTGGATATGAAATAGTTTCAGGCTGGTAACTAAACTTTGTATTATTTTAAGTATAGTTCTTCCCTTGATGACTGAGAAGGAGTTACCAATTTTTTTATACACATAGAAGAAAAACCCTTTCAACAATTGTTAAACATTTTTTCATCTACAACCACTAACTTTTCAAGAGATATAAATATCAACTTTGAGGAAAGAAAGAAAGTAAAGATCCAGTCTGTACTACTCAAGAATAATCTCATTACTGAATATCAAAATGAAGAAAGCTTGTTTAATTAAGAGAAACAGCTCTCCATCAGAGATGACTGGTAACTATTTAGCAATGGCTACAAATTTGCCTTGCATGTATCATTTAGATTTGCTTAAAATCATCCCACAAAAGCTTTTCTAGGAATGCTTTTCCTCCATTCTTAATATGAAAAATCAGTCTTGATTCTTCTGGCAAGAAAGGCATGGTAAAGTTAGTGAGGTAGCTCAGTTGTAGAATGCTTGACTGTCATGTGGGAGGCCCTGGGTTCAATTCCTAACACCACACACAAAATGCATGGAATTTTTTTTTTGTAAAGATAATTTTATCAGAAACTGAAGTCCTGAGAAATTAGGTCATTGGCACAAGGATTTCAAAGCGTGCCTGACCCTGTACCATATAGTTGGTAAGGCAACTTGGAGTTTGAGAGTACTAAGAAATTATAGAAGAAATCTCCAGGGAATGTCAAAGCCAGCTAACACTCTTCTCTTTTCCTTGGAGTTTGTGAAATTCCTTTTCATTCAATCCTGATGTAATGCTGAGTAATAAAAAGTAGTGTGTTCTTCAGCACAACACATCTCTGGAAGCCCTTTAACCAGCCTCTGTTAGTCATCACTATACTCACAGGCTTAGGGCCAGTGCCATTCACACTTCCCCCTGTTCTGCAGCAGACAGGCGGAGTTCTTTTAATCCTTCTGTCTTTTCTTCCCCATCTCTCTAAAACTCTTCTTTAAGGGAGGAACAGCTATAGCTTTGGGGATAATATAGCTTTAAGGCAACTTTTGGCAAATGTTAACGTCCTAACATCTGGGCAGTGTTAACAGAATCCCGGAGGCCCAGACAGACCAGGAGCCACTCGTTCTAGGAATGTTAAAGTAGAAGTTTGTTGTTTTTTTTTCCCCCGGCTGATGAGAGGAGCAGAAAGGAAAGAGAAAGAGGAGGAGAGAGAAAGAACACAAAAAAACTATAACACAGGTAAGATTTGCAATTAACTCTTCATACTACTCTACCTTATTTCACAGCTATGGACTGGTAAGGAGACCCAGGACTTGGACAACATGACTGGGGGTTAGAACGGGGAGAAGATGATCTTTTATGAAATTGGATCACATGCTGTTTTCATTTGTACCCTGACCTGGTTGCAGACTAATGTTCCCACTAACTTCTCAGCCCACAATAAAGGATGGCTGTCTCTGGTGAGTCACATTTTCAGTCTGAGATTGAGGAGGAGGTGGGCATGTAAAGGGTCACACTGAGTATTAGGTCTGAAAAAAGGAAAATCCCTGCTGCAGAACAAAGGAAGTGAATTGAGGCTAGATATGGGAAAAGGATCAGTGATAATTTTCTAGCTGTTCATTTTCCTGGTTCTTTCTTTAATCCCTTTTTACTTTTATTGTCTCTTCAATCCACCTCTTTTCTTGAGCTTTGTCAGATTTTCTTTTCTTTCTAGCATCCTTTCTACGTATTACCATTTTCCTTACCTCCCTTATTTACTCTCACTTTTTTTCTCTATTCAGCTTAATTGACACTCTCTGTAGCAAGGAACTACAAAATGTCATAAAGTGATGCTGGCCAGAGTCTGCCATCATTTTGCTTTTGCGTTTCTGGAACTGACTCCTCCTCTGAGCATGACATTTCATTGAAAGCATGTGGGTGAGTGGGTGCTTACTGAAAAATATCCAGTGACCAGTTTTTACCAATGGGCATCAAATTTTAATACTGTCATTTATGAAGTTTTTGCCCACTGGAACCAAAAAAGTTCCCATCCCATTAAAGTGAAGGCAGACTGGGAAGTAAGAGGATAATTGGGACCTGCTCACCCTCTCCTCATGGACCCTAACCTCTCTGACTTCCTGTTGGCTCAGCAGGGTAAAACTAGAAGGTTAGACAGGACTTGAAAGTCAGAAGCCATTACCAAACCACTAAGCCTCAAAACCCAAAGCTAGGAACAGAGCCAAGGTATCGTTACTGCCTGGGAGACTAGAGAAGGTAAACATCCAGTCCTGTCCAGTGTGAAGTTGGTAAAAATAATTTCAATACATATTGATTATCTCCCTATATGTCAGGTAATAATATATTCTATAAGATAGATGCTATTCTTATTTCCATTTTATAGATGAGGAAATAGAGGCTCAAATATTTAAGGAATTTGTCCAAGGTCCCATAGCTAATAGGTGACAAAACTGGATTCACATTCTGATCTGTATAACTTCAGTATTCAAGCTCTTAGACTATATGCTAATACTTTCTCAGATCAATGGTTAAGAAATATTAGATGAATAAATGAAACCATTAACTGGCAGCCTTTAGATCACCAGATTCCCTTCTGGTTCTGTATGACTTTATGTTACCTTTTTCTGGTCTTGTACTTAAGTGTCCATCCCCATAACTTGGTCCAAGGAACATCTTCATCTGATCCCACCAGGATCAGTTGAAGATACATCACTTACTGTCTGGGGAAAAGGGACCATAATAATAGTCTTGTCATTCTATAAAGTGGAACATCTTTATGTAGGGGATGGTATGGCAGGCATTATTAATTTTAAAATCTTTCTTCTTCCTCACAGATCCCATACATCTGCTTCTTCTCACTTTTGGAAGCTCATAGGTGGCTGGCTTCTGAAAGCATTTTCCTTTATCTGGGTACTTTGGGCTACATACCCTTATTTTTTTATTTCCCTAATCCTCCCTTTCAAGGATGGTTGGTCAACTAATTCAAAGAGGAGCTATCTCTCTGCTGCTCTTCCTAACTCCAGCAGTGACACCAACATGGTATGCAGGTAAGTTCTAGAGCTGATGGCCTTTATTTCCAGGGAGGGCAGAGCTGAGACCAAGACCTGGAGAAGGGAAGAGTTAGACTATCATGAAAGACCTTTATTTTAGATATAAAGAAAAGCTACTAAAGGGCAATAAAGATGGCCAAATATTCCAATTAGCTACCAAGGATAGCCTTTGAGGCACCCTAACAAGAGCTGTTTGAAAATGGGTTTGTGAGAGCATAAAGCTGAAAAGGTTGGACAGCATGGCCTTTTAAGCTATTGTCTAACCTGCTTTTGCACTTACCTTCCTAAAAACTGTTCTCTAATCATTTCTTTATGAGTTAAATCTTTACTCAAATTATGACTCAAATACTCTTGTCAATATTGCAAAAATGGAACTTAGACCAATTATCTCATTTGAGAAAAAAAATGGAGGAGACAGGCAATCCATCATACTTCTTCTCTCCCTTTCGACCTCCCAGACCTTATGTATGAGATTGTGACAGCCTCTTTCTGGTAAAGCTGTTAATAGCAATACAGATCACATTCTCTTAATCAGGAATTTCCCAGTTTCTTTTTCTTGTTCCTTACTTCAGAAGGGATGGAGATTTCTAGATTCCTCAATGTTTCACCCTCTGTTCCCAGGGACAGAGAGCTACAAGAGTGGACTCAGTGAGGAGAGAGAAAATGGGAGGTGGGTAGGGGTGAGGGAAGGATAATGAACTGACATATAGAGGTTTTTGATGGGGCCCAGCTGGCATTCCAAGTGCTAAGAATATTCTGTGGACTGTAGTGTCTGCCCTCACAGGAACTGGGGGGTGGAGGATAGGGGAATGAGACAGGCACGACCATTGGGGTTAGGAAAATATCCAGAGATGAGTAAATAACAAACTGCTCTCATCACAGCCACAGTCATTGCAGCTAAAATTTTCCACATACCCTTAGCTCCTTGTGGAGGCCTTTGGCAGTAGGTTTGTTTGTCTGGAACAGCTGCATCAAGCTTTCATACAAATATGCAAACTTCTTCCTCTTTTTGGCTTAACCTGGCTTTGTAGGGGGTGAAACACAAGGGCTGACATTGAGATGAAGAAATTCAAATGAAGCCCTTGGCAGAGTACACACTGTTTGGGGTTAAAGGTGCCTCAAGTCTCCAGGAGGTAAATATGCAGCTGTCCTCTCCAGCCTCCCACTTACTTTAGTTCAAGCATGGAAGACCAAAATCCAGGCAAAGATCACAGGACTAAGGGAACAAAGATAGATGACTCAAAACCCAAATTTGAATAACTGTGTGAAACCTCATTGCATGCAAAGGCCTTTGCCTTTCCCAGAATAGAGAGCCTGGACTGTTGGAGTTCTGAGGAAATGTTTTTTTTTTGTTGTTGTTGTTGTTTGTTTGTTTGTTTTTTTAATTTAGATTCATTTGAGGGTCTCAAAGGGCTTGTTTGCAAAGGAGGCACTCCCCACTTTCCTGTGAATCACTGCTGCTTCTGAGGAGCCCAGGCTGGTGAGGTGTCTGACAGCCCTGCAAATCCTTCTTAGGAGACTACATAATTTGGGGTCCTATGGTCCTCCCCTACTTTGCTAGCTAAGCCACTGGATTTTCCTCCATTTATTTGTTCATTCACCCAACAAATACTTATGGAGCACTCCCTATATATCCAGCACTGTTTTGTTTTTTTTTCTATTGTATAGCCTTATGCTCTAGTGGAAATGGAACAAAGGAAAGTAACCAAGTGAGAATTTTGTGTTAATCAGGAAAAGGATCCAGGTATAATTAGCAAAGGGTGGGAAATTTTATAAATATAAATGAAGCCAAGAGAGGATTAAAAGTGTGTATTGGCATAGCTGTACAGTTCAGGAAGTCAGAATGTATTTGTCATCATAAACTAAGCATTAATGAAGATCTTAGTCTTCAACTATCAGTTACATTTCCAACCATTCCTTTATGAAAGACCATGTTTAGAGGGTCTAACTGTGCTATGGAAGTTGAAGGAACCCAGTAACAGACCACACTGTAACCAACCACCGATTAATCTAAAGAATTGAGAAATGCTTTCCAAGCCCATCCCCCAGTGCCAATGAAGGACATGCAAATAGAATAGTGTAGAGAGTTTGCTACTTTAGTTTCATTCTTATACTCCACCTCAATATCCCAATGTATGCATAAAAATACTCAAAGTAAGGCTAGGAGGAAAAACGCAGAGGTATAAAGTATTAAGTGGTCTGAGCCCATTCCTGGTACAAAGGAAACTTGGCACTGGTCTACCTACCTCTGCACTCTGGTGGAGACTGTAATTATCTGATTGAAGCTTCTCCTCAGTTTTTCCACATCCCCTGTAATTCTGGATTGATGTAAAACACTTGGTGGCCTTCCTCCCCCTACACACACACACACACACAAAGCTGGATTCCAAAAAAGATTGTGGGTTGTTTTTTTTTTTTAATTCATGCTACACATTGTCAAAAGCTCTCCTCTACAATTATTTTCAGTGGAATGTCTGACTTCAGAAAATAGGGATCAAATAGACCTGAGCTGAAATGCCCACTCTGCTACTTACTAGCAACTTCCTTAATTACTCTGAGCCAGCCTCTTCCTCTGTATATTGGAGAGTGTTAATAGTATCTACCCCATTGAGATATCACAGTGACATAACATATGCTTAACCCAGAGTAGGAGCTGAGTGATGTTGGCAGTCATTGCTGTCTTGCTGTTATTGTTATCCAGCCATAAACCTCTGACACTCCTGTTTTCTCTTCTGGTAAACAGCTGTTTGCTCCCTGCTGAGCATTTCTTCCCAAGCTAGCTCTGTAACAAGAGCAGGGAGACCTAATACTTTAGGGAGTCACACACATCTGGTCTCCTGTTTACAGGAGCTGTGAAGCTTTGAGGCTAGTACTAAACTGAAACAGCTGACAAGAATTCCATGCCTCACAAAGAAACCTCCCATGTGGGAAAAGAGAAAGCAGGGGAGATGAGGTCTAAGAAGAAATAAAAGGAACCCAGAAGAAATTAATTGGGAAAACAGAAAGAAAAAACACAAAAGGGAAAGAAAAAACACGAAAGGGAAAGAGAAAAAATGAACTCTTTCCTTTGGAATGAAGGCAAACCAACAAGGACATGATTTCATAAGGCAAACTTTCAATTTGATTCATTCTCTTGTTCACCGAGTTGGACTGGTTTCCCAACACTCCCCACCCCACCCCCATCTGGACCTGTGGAGAGTAAAGGAACTTCATCATCTAGCCCACTGCTCCACCCTTTAGTGCAGGGGGCCCTCTTCATTTTCACAGAGAAGGCCTCCAGCTTGTGGTCTGTTTACACAGACACTAAAACTCAGCCTTGTTCTAAAATCACACCTTCTCCTAAAAAATGGAGAATTCTCTCAGACTTCAGCACTGGTTGGTTATCCTATTCCTATGTGCATTAGAGCTCAGGGCATGCTGGAAGAAGGGTTTCCTGAAACTTCACTCCGGAAAGAACCAAGTTGTTTTCCAATTAGTTCCTATTCATGACCGATTTCCTGCTGTCTGGTGGAACATACTGTTTAGTCTCCCAGACAGCTGCAGACCTGCCTCCACCAGGGAATGAATCACTTAACTGGATGAAGGTAGATTAAGAATGTCCTCTAGTTCAGCCATTCCCTACTAAAGCTCCTGCTGATTACAGGAACAGGAAATTTATCCAAAGGACTTTGCCTTGGGCTGAGTTATAACTCAGTGATAGAGGGCTTGCTTAGCACGAATAAGGCCCTGGACTCTATCCCCAGCACTTCAAAACAAAACAAAACAAAACAAAAAAGTAAAAGAAACAAAAAGTATTCTGCCTCCATATTTTCCCAAACCAGGACAAAGTTCTCATGAGACTGTTCTCATTCCTTCTTGCCTTTTGAGCCATCCATCTCTGCCTTGGCATGCCACCCCCAGCAACAGCATTCAGGTGACAAAAATACCCCTGCCCTGTAGGCTAATGGGAGCTTGAACTATTTTCTTCTGAGGACTTTGAGCAGGCCTGTCACTAGCAGAAGGAAGACACTTTGGCTTTCTTTTTTCCTCCTACCTGAGACAAGAGTCCATCTTCTTAGTTTGGTCATCAGTGTCTCACCAAGAATCTCAGGTTGCATCAAGGAAATGGATCACTTATAATCCAGATTGACAGGACTGCTGGATGGTCAAGAATTTTAATTATTTTTCTTTTGAAAGGAGTCTTTCAGTGCTATTACTGTGTTCCCTGACCATGAGCTTGCCTTTTACAGTGATCCTCTTATATACTGAGGGTTACCCACAGTAAATTAATACAAGTTTGCAAGTCACTTGGCTCCCTGACCCACAACAAAGTTGTGGGGGAGCTGGGAAGAATTTAGGAAGAAATATACACACCATCTTGATACTGTCTTCTTTTTTATAGGCTCAGGCTACTATCCAGATGAAAGCTACAATGAAGTCTATGCAGAAGAGGTCCCACGGGCTCCTGCCCTAGATTACAGAGGTAATCTTCACTTTTCAATCTCGGGAACACTCTCTCCCTGGCCTCAGGCCCAGGCTCTTCCATGAAGCATCCTCCTCCAGGCTTGGCTCATATGTGCCAAAAATGCAGCACAATGAATTATTGAGGCTATGATTTTAAACATGAACTTGGTTACTGACATGCTGTGGGACCTCACCTTTCTAGCCTGAGGTTGTCCATCTATTATTAATCCTTAATATTGACTGAGTACCCCATGTATACCAAATCCTATGCAAGGTAAGCCATTGTGTGATGCAAAGTCTAAGATAGGGGGTTTATCCTCCTTAAAAAGCTGATATTCTGTTGGGGGTGAAGGGAGGATAAAATTAGCACATGCCAAGCAAGTAAGCATGAGACTGTGGTAGCAGTAAATGCAATGGGAGTTGAGACAAAGAAGCCGGGAAATCATTCATGAATGATGACATTTAGGCTAGACTTTCAATGATGAATAGTATTTTGAAAATAGGAAAGGGGAGGGAAGGGCACTTGGCAAAGGAGGTGGCCAAAGATATGGAGGTAAGAGCAGACCCATTACAGGAGGGAGTTAAGAAAAAAATAGCCTGACTGGAGGAGATGGAATGTGAAGGGAGTAATAGAGAACAAAATTAAATATAAAGAGTGAGATCAAATTAGGAAAGCCTTTATGACATAGGCACTATTCTAAGGAGAGGCAACGGACCACCTGTGACAAATGCTAAATAACGATTCCTGCATTAAAAGAAAGGTTAGGCCAGGTGATATCAAATATCCCTTCCATTTCTGATTCTCTGTTTCTATGCTTAGCATGTAATTGCAGAAAAGTTTAGCTGTTGTGCTAAGAGATATAAGGACCATATCACAGGTTTTTGCAGAGGAAAGCGACATTGTAAATGATAATCGTAGAACACTAACCTGCTTATTCTGTTCAGAAAGTAAGGATTGGGAAGAGTAGAGCCTGCATCTGGGAGGCTCTCTAGGAACCAATTATAGTAATGTTAGCTAGAGATGATTGAGAGTATGGCACTGAAATGGAGAATAAGGATATGCTGTAGAATGGGCTGGGTTGCAGCTCAGTGGTAGAGTGTTTGCCTAGCATCTGCAAAGCCCTGGGTTCAATCTCCAGCACTGAAAATAAAAAGATGTACCCCAGATACATTTCAAAGAAAATCACCAAGATTTGGTACAGATTTGATGATCGAAGAAAGAAAGAAACTGATGTCTGAAAGCATCCAGTCTGAATACCTAGGAGAACTATAAGACTCCTCTAAAAGACAAAGTTAAAAAAAAAAAAAACTAGAGCTGGCTGCAGGGGTGCATACCTGTAATCCCAGTAACTCAAGAAGCTGAGGTAAGTCTGAGGACAAACTCAGCAATTTAGCAAAGCCCTGTCTCAAAATAAAAAGGGCTAGGGACATAGATCAGTGGTAATACACTCTTGGATTCAATCTCTAGTACCAAAAAAAAAAAAAAAAAACAAACAGAAAACAAACTGGTTTGGTAAAGATACTCTATGAACAGTTGGAAGTGGAAATATGAAGCTTTGTGAGTCCCTGACTTAGATGAATGGGCTCTGAGGAAGCAGAGGCCAAGGTCAATGCCTTAGAAAACATCTGTAGAATGAGTAGGAAAAAAGGAGCCAGCAAGGCAGAGAGAGTTAGCAGTCAGCCATATGAAAGAAGATCAGGGTAGTGTCTATCATATTACAGAAGGCACATAAGAAGAGAGTTTTAGGAAAATGGAAAGGTTAAGAAATCAACTATGTCAGGGATTACAAAGAGATCACATCGAAAGGAGAAATTTTATTTAACAAAAAGGAGGTGACCTTTGACAAAACCATTTCAGTAGGAAAAATGATCAGAGTTTTGGGTTTTTCTATGCCACTTTTTAGTTACTTTGTCTCTTCTTGTTATCAATGGTCCACACCCACTGCCTCTGTCTCAGTGCCCACTAAATTCTAAACTTCCTGTAGTCTGTTTTCCACTCACCCACTAATCTCCAAACTGAAACATCTCTTGAAGACTGTAATTCTCTCCCATGATCAAATCACATGGCTTTGAGCTTTAGTCTCCTCAGTCTCTCCAGCAGCACTGAGCAAGCCCCTTTCTTTTAAACCCCTCTTCCTTGGGATCCATGACATTTTATTCCTCTGTTCATAGCTGAAGCCAAGAGAGAAGATGGATTCTCTGGTGGCAAAAATACAGAGAATGAAGCTGGGATCTTGGGCAACCTTGACTGGTCTCAAGCTCCTGGACTATATCTTCAACTGCTGCTAGACACTTCCATTTGGAGATACCTAAAACAAAATTCTTCAATCTTGCCTGAAGAAGGTTCTACCAGTTGACTTTCCTACTTCTGACATTCTCTCAGTTAGAATACCTCAGTATCATTTCTAATCATCCCCATCACCTTTAATAGTTCCTTTTTCTCATTCACCAAGACCTATCATTTCATTATTAATCCATGGGAATAAAACTTTTATTACTTCACACATGAATAATGCTAGTTGCCCCTAACTGCATTCTCTGACTCATGTTTTTCTCCCCTAAACCTAGTGTCCCACTATGATCATTTTTCTTTTTTTCTTCTTTCTGGTACTAGGGATTGAACCTAGAGACCCTTAACAACTGAGCCACACCCCAAGCCCTTCTTTATTTTTTATTTTGAGACAAGGTCTTGCTAAGATGCTTAGTACCTCACTAAGTTGCTGAGGCTGGCTTCAAATCTGTGATCCTCCTTCCTCAGCCTCCTGAGCCACTGGGATTCCAGGCATGTGCCAACATACCCAGCTCCACTATGAAAATTTTTAATCAGAATCTGATCTCCATCTGTCTTCCCAGCTTGACATCTTCTCACCCTTCTCCCCACTTGAAATCTGTGTTTCATTCAGGGTGAGCTTTTCCTTACTCTCTCTCACTGAATATTAAGAGGTACTACTATATACCTCTTATGAAATCAGTATTTATTACCTAAACTACTCATCATGTACTGACTCTTTGATCTACTTTTTATTACTCTCAAGAAAATATCTATCCATTTAACAGAAGGAGCCATGAATATCACTCCCACAGAGCTATGTTAAAAGTAGATGCTGACCGTCAGTATCCTAGGAACAGAAACCAGATTGTAGATTCTAAATGGGATAGTAAAAAAGCAACAAACATAGAAGGTATTTTTGAGAGGTCTGGCAGCCCTATAATTAATATTATCTGCCTCATTGGCCATTTTTAAATTAGCAAAAAGACCTTTAGAAAAATATAAGTCAGTCAGGTGTGGTGGTGCACACCTGTAATCCCAGTGACTCAGGAGGCTGAGGCAGAAGGATTGATTGCATGATCAAGGTCAGCCTTGGCAACTTAGTGAGGCCCTAAGCAAGTTAACAAGACCCTGTCTCAAAATAAAAAATAAAAAGGGCTGAGGATGTGGTTCAGTTGTAAAGTGCCTCTGGATTCAATCCCCAGTACCAAAAAAAAGAAAAATATAAGTCACATGGCAACATTTGACCTTGGGGTCTAATGTCTTATAGCTCTTTGTAGGACTTACTCTCAGGACATAAAATGAATCAAACATAGTTATTAATGATGAGTGGAAAGGAATAGCCAGGAAAAGTACAACCTGATGTCCCAACCTCCCTTGTAAGACCCTTGTCACTTCATAATCAACAGCTCTGCAACTGTAGTGATTAAGGACTTTCTGTAATTTGGTGTCCCAGATGACAATCATATGTGTCACAGCTACATGCCAAGACACTGGAAATCACAGTGTGTTGTTATTTGAGTACTAATGAGACAGGGGCTCAAACCCAGACACTGATTTAGGAAAGATCATTCATAGGACTAGATATTTTACAAGTGTAGTTTTAATTGATTCTTACCACAGCTCTATAGAATTGATTTATTATCCCTTGTTTTACAGATCAGGAAACTAAGCTCATGGAAGTTAAATTTAGGGTCATAGAGCTTAGAGGAGACAAAACGGGAATTTATTTATTTTTTAAAAATTATTTTGTAGCTGTTGATGGACAGCATGACTTTATTTTATTTGCTTAATTTTGTTTGTGGTGCTGAGGATCGAACCCAGTGCTCCACACATGACAGGCAAGCACTCTGCCACTGAGCCAAGCCACAGCCCCACAAAACAGGGATTTAAACTCAGGTCTGTCTGACTTTAGAGCCATCTTATTTCATCTCTTTCATTAAAAATGTAACTCACTGGGGCTGGGGCTATAGCTCAATGGTAGAGCACTCACCTGGCATGTGTGAGGCACTGGGTTCGAGCCTCAGCACCACATAAGGATAAAAAAATAAGATATTGTCCATCTGCAACTAAAAAAATTTTTTTAAAGATATTTTAAAAATGTAACTCATTATCTAAAAAGAAAAAAGATAAAAACAATTGCTAAGCAATAAAAAACATAAGATTATTGTAGAGCAAATTGCCCATGTAGTTTGGTACTATTTTTACTAATCTTGCATTTCCTGTTATTCCCTTATCATGAAACAGCTTGGAGTCAGGTGCACCCTCAGTCTGCTGGGCTGCTGCTTTCCTCACAGCTTGCCTCAGCCCTGAGCAAACTAGTCACTCTGCCTGGGTTATCTGAAGGTAATTACAGAGAAGGACCTTTCAAACCTGTTGTCAGTGCTCTTTTCATTACAAGCCTTTTTAAAAAGAGAGAACTCTTATAGCTCTTTGGCCCTGGACAAACTCTTATTATGTGCCAGTCAGTGTACTAAATATTTTATGTTATTTCATTTAAACAAATCACATCCTTACTAGGTAGTGATATGGAAATATTTCTAAGCTACAACATTCATTTTATTTTTTTAAAAGGTAATGGTAGGAGCTGGAGGTATAGCTCAATGGTAGAGCATTTTCCTGGTATGTGTGAAGCCCTAGCATGGTTCAAGCCACAACAACACACCAAAAAAAGCAATGGTGGCAACAATAGACATGATATACTGCTCCATGTGTTATAAAGGAGGGGAAACAAGATGCTGTACCAACATTTGCATTATATGCATAAAGAAACTATTAACAATGGGGTCTTAGAATGAAAGTAGGATTGGGTGGGGACATTTTACTGGGTAATATATTATACTCTGGGGGGTCTGACCTATATGCATACATTACCTCTTCAAAAAGGTCAATATACCCTTCAAAATAGCTGCTGCAGTAGCAAATTTAGTACTTAGAAAAAACATGGGTTTTAGAGAAGAAAAAGTTCTGGTCTAAATCTCAGCCCTATTTCTTATTTGCTGAAGGACCCTGGGAAAGTTACTTACTCATCTGTAAAATAAGTCTAAATACCTACTTAACCTCAGAGGGCTGTTGGGGGAACTATATGAGGTGATGTATATGAAGGAAAATTATGTAGTATGGTACCTAGTCATAGTAAGTACTCAATATAGACTAACACACATTTCCAAACAGACATTCTCACCATACAGTATTTAATTTTTTGTTTTGTTTTGTGGATTGAATCCTGGGGCACTTAACTACTGAGCCACATTCCCCCAGACATTTTTATTTTTTATTTTGAGTCACTTAGATCCTCACTAAATTGCTGGATTGGCCTCAAACTTGCCATCCTTCTGCCTCAGCCTCCCAAATGGCTATTACTGGTTGTAATAGTCATGTGCCACCACACCCAGCTACCATACATTATTTAACCATGTTCTTAGTTTCAGTTTCCCATTGGCATTCTTTGGGTACAGTTGTTCAGCCAGTTATGAATCTCTCTAACTGTATTGTCACCCCTCCCATATTTCTTCCTCTCATCCACATCACTGACATGAAAAGTATTGACATATGCTTCACTTCATTTCTCCTGTTCTACCAGTCTGGTGGCCCTACCCAAAAAGGAAATGAGGTCAGTCTGCAATTACTTGTTCTTGAGTGCTCCTGGAGATCATTACTTCTCTAACAGATCATAAGTCATACCTTTAAATATTCTAGAAAACTATGCTTTCAGTGTCACCAGGCTATAGTTCTAAGAGGCTACCTTCTTTCTTATTTGAAAATGGGGATTGTTGTTGCTTTGCCCTTTACCAGCCTTCCAATGTTTTTTCTTTATGCCAGGATTCCTCTGGGCCAGCAAATTTGAACTTATTTACAATAGCTGGGCCTCTCTTACTGACTCAGTATTTATCCTAAGCTTTCTATTTCCCTTTACCATGCTTACTTTTTTTATCAGTTTCAATCTGATGTGTATTTTCCTTGATGAAAAAATAGAATGGAAGTGATTGCTGAGGTCCCAACCTCCCATTTAAGGTCGTTGTAATATGTGTTGTGGCCTTATAATCAACAGCTCTGCAACTATAGTGCTTAAGAGACTTTCTGTAATTTGGAGATGGTGTCTCCAGATGGCAGCCCTGTCACTGCCACAGGCTTGAAACTAATACTGGGAGCCCCAAACGTGGCGTTAGTTGAAGAATAGTTTTCTCTCTGTCATCTGTCTTCATTCTCCAGCTGCACTCAAGCAGAAGCTCCAGCCTTTCTTTTATCCTATAGCTCCTGATGTGCTTTTTTGTTAAGTCTCAGAGTGGTTTGGGTTTTGTTTGTTTGTTTGTTTGTTTTTGTCCTTAGGATTTGGGAATCAAATCAGCTCACATGGGGCTTTAATCTTCCCAACCTTAGGCAAACAGATGTGGTACATGCTGTATAAACCTCCTTGGACAGGTGGCCCTCCATTTGTTTACATGTGTCTCTTTAAAATCCAAACCCATTGAAGAGTCATTTATTTATTTTGTACAGTCTGTGAGGCATCTTTATGATGCTCTGTAACCTCTTTTGCTCAGTACTGTACTGAGATTGGACTTTCACTTCTAAGCAACCTTCTTTGCTGTCACTTTCCTTTTCTGTCTCTAATGTATATTTTTGTGTTTTATTTTTTTTTGCTTTACATTCACATATAGTAGACTTCATTTGGGAGGAATATAGTTCTGTGTGTTTTGACAAATGCATAGAGTAGGATAACAACCAAGATAATACAAAATACTTATATTGCCTCCAAAACTTGCCCAGTGCTACTCCTTTGAGATTATCCCTGACCTCAACCCCTCATCTTCAACAACCACTGATCTGTACTCTGTCCCTATATTTTTGCCTGAATGTGTCCCTATAGCTTTGTCATATAATGGAATCCTACAAAATGCAGTCTTTGGAATCGGGCTTCCTTCACTTCCCAAACTGCTTTTGAGATTTATTTATGTTGTTGCATGTATCAGCACTTTATTCTTGTATATGGATAAACTAAAGTTAGTTTAATCATTCACCCATAGAAAGACATCTATTTCCAGCTTTTGGCAATTATGATAGAATAACTTTAAACATTTGTGTATATTAAAATATAATTTTCAAAATTTTAATTTGTTCTTTTTATATATGACAGTAGAATATACAAGGTTGGAATATATCTTATTCTAATTAGGATCCCAGTCTTGTGGATGTCCATAATAATGAGATTCATTTTAACTTTAAAAAATAGCACATCAAAAAAAACTTTTCTGTATAGGATTTTGGTGTGAACTCAGGTTTTCATTTCACTTGGGAAAATACCTTAAAGTGTATTTCAAAATCATTTAGTAAACATATTTTCTTTGCAATAAGATTTATTATTACCTTCATAAGAAACTACTAAATTATTTTCCAAGGCAGCTGTGTTTTTGCATTTCCACCAGCCATGTATGAGAGTTCCAATGTCTCTCTTTGTTACTGCCATTTTTTAAAATTTAGACATTCTAATGTTTCTATTAATGATATCTCATTGTGGTTTTAATTTGCATTTTTAATGTCTAATAATGCTCAACACCTTTTCATGTGCTTATTTACCATCAGTACTTTGGTAATATGTCTGTTCATCCTTTGTCCATGTTATAGCTGGATTGTTTGCTTTTTTTACTGTTGACTTTTGATAGTTCTTTTTATATTTGAGATATTAGTCTTTTGTTGGATATGTAGTTTGCAACTATTTTCTACCAATTTGTGCCTTGTCTTTGATCTCTTAATAGTGCCTTTCATAGAGCAAAATATTTTAATTTTAACAATGTCCAACTTATTGACTTTTTATGAATTGCAGTTTTGGTGTTATATTTTAGACTTTTTCGCCTACTCCTCATTCCCAGTGATTTTCTACTATGTTTTTTTCCTACAAGTTTTGTATTTTTCTTTTTTACACTTAAGTCCATCATCCATTTTGAATTAATTTTTGTATAATTTCTTGTATTAGATTGTCTTTTCTTTTTCCCCTTTCTTTTCTTTCCCTCGTTTTCTTTCTTTTCTTTTCTTTCTCTCTCTCCTGTCTTCCTATGAAGTTTCAATTGTTCCAGCTCCATTTGTCTGAAAGGTCCTTTCCTCCATTGTATTGTTTTGGTAACTTTGTCAAAAAAAACATTTTGGTACACTGGTGTAGATCTATTTCTGAGATCGCTGTTCTGTCCCATTGATATGTTACTGCCCTTTTACCAACACCATACTGTCTTAATTATTATGATTCTAGCTTACTTTTCTCTTGTTGCTACAGTCCCCCGATGGTGTTACACATTAAATATTCAAGATGGAGAAGCCACATGCTACTCACCAAGGGGAGGAAATTATCACAGTAGCCTAGGAACTCGTTGCGAGCTCTCCTGTGACCGTGGCTTTCGACTGATTGGACGGAGATCAGTGCAATGCCTGCCAAACCGCCGTTGGTCTGGAACTGCCTACTGCAGGCGTAAGTTGCATGTGTGCACATGCTGACATGAGCATGAGAGATGCCAGCCAGTCACTGAGGGTATCTCCCTGGAGGTGTTATTATGCCTTTCTTTCAAGTTTAAATTGAGAATTTTCCAGAGCCTCCCCCCTCCATTGAGGCATTTCCTCATCCTAACATTCTACTTTATTTTCTATTCCTGTAGTTACTGTCTGAGTGATTTGGGCATTTAAGTAGCAGCTAGCCTTTCCAACTCAGGGAACTCAGAAGTGCATGTAGGAGGCTAAGGCTTGACCCCAAGGCCTGATGTGGAACTGGGCCTTCTTTTGGAGTTCTGGAGGATTTACAGTTTCAGATTCTTTCCCATTTGTGGTCAAGTTGTGTTCTTCCTGGCCTATAACCTTAGAATGCCTTGCCAGTGAAGCTATGAAACGTCTGCTATTCTTCATTTTCTTCCGAAAGTCAGAAAGGAGAATCCCTAAGGTTAGGATATGAGGATATTAATAGACACACATCCCAAACCATGTCTCCCTTTAACATCCAAACCCCCAGCTATTATTCAAACTCCATAGTCTACCTCCTTTTAGCAGATGAGCTTTGAATATTCATGTGTCCATCACTGAATACAATTTGTAGGACATCCTGTATTGTATAGGGGGCCTGTATTGATCACTGCAAGAGCTTACTCAATTCCTCACCTACCCTCAGGCCACTTATAGCCTAATGGGATAGAAATGTGTGCACATGAATGCTGTATACCTGGACACAGAGGACTGAGCATTCAGAGAAATGAGGTTGGTCAGAGAAGGTGGTGTGGAGTAGAGGAGAAGCCTGATAGCCAGAAAGAAGTCAGTACCATCCTCTGGGTGACTGTAATTAAGTTGTTTTAGGATTTAAACCCCATTATTTCCAAAATAAATTTGAATTGGCCTGACAAATTGAAATAAACAAAGCTATAAATTATAAGCAAGCATAAAACCAGTTAAAAGAATGGAGACATGCATATTTCCAGGTTCCTAGATTGAGTTGATTATTACATTGGGCACTAAATCTAGCTTTGAGCTTCCTTGTAAGAGACAAAAGGACAAACACTATGGATCTATTATTTTCGCTGTCATATAATACTAAGCAAACAAATTCATCTGAAGACACAAACTTTTCTCTTGGCTCTGATTTCAAGGAGATCATTTTTGCATAGGTTTTTACATATCAGATATTGAAAAACAAAAAAGGCAATAAACTTGAAATCTGGTTTGGCCAAGAAACAAAACGAAAGTAGCTTATATAGAATCTTCATTCAAAGTTTCAAATATTCAACTTATGCAGGATTTGAACTAAGACAATCTAAAGAAATATATAGCCCTACTTCTCTTAAGTATCAGTTATCACAAACAAGACTTCCACAAACATAGGCTTACAATTATTTCATGGTGGCAGTCTCTAATACACCACATGGTATCTAAAGCACACAGATTCCTCCTTAATCAAATACCACCACACCTGACCCTCCAGGCACTGGCCTGACTTGTACTATCACATGGACATAAAGCCATCCCACTCTGGCATGTAAGTGAGAAGTGGCTGTGCAAGTATAGGAATGATACTCAAAAGAAGCTTTGAGCATACTCAAGAGCTTATAGCATCTGAGGAACAAGAGATGAAAACTAACAACTGCTGAGGCTCTAAATGATCCTAGAGGTTTATAGGCATTGTATCTGTTAATTTGTACAACAATGTTGTGAAGCATACACATTTTACAATTAAAAAAAAACCACTGAGTCTAATAGAGATTAGGCAATTTTTCAAGTCATAGAGCAAATAAGAGGTAGAGCTGACATGCCAGCTCAGGTCTGACTCTGAAGTTCACGTGCTTGGGCAAGTAATTTACTTCTTTGAGACCCCCCCACCCCCTTGCACATACACCAAGAGTGCTTCTACACCTTGTAATATGAAAATTAAAAAGGCAGTTCAGGAGGAAAGCAGTGTGGCATAAAAATGTAAAGCAGTTTGGGTCAGGTTTCTGTATATTCATTGTCTATGATATGGTTCTCCATGAGCTAGATGCATCACCTCCAGTTAGTCCCACAGGCCACTGAGCTTGCCACTTGCTTCTCTCTTAGAGATGAGATGTCATGCACTGCCATTCATCGCTAGTGGCACCTACAGCTGCACAAATGGAGTGCTTCTTGACTCCCGCTGTGACTATAGTTGTTCTAGTGGCTACCACCTAGAAGGTGACCGCAGCCGAATCTGCATGGAAGATGGGCGATGGAGTGGAGGCGAGCCTGTATGTGTAGGTAAATGCCAGTTGCTCCTATTTTTCCTGTTGCAAAGAGTCATCCTAGCATTATGTCCACAAGCAAAATGGAATTCTAATTGCAAAGATATTCCTGCTCACTATGAAGGGGGCCCCATGAGCACAAGCTTAACAAAATGATTACTTCCCCTAGAGTCAGGCTTCTTTCCCCAGTCTCCCTGAAAACCTTGAACTTTCTTCTTACCCAGTGGTGTGTGGTATTGTTTCAATGGGTCCCCTCCAGGGAAGGCAGAGGGCCCATAAATTGACACTTGATTTTTGACCTTCATAGACATAGATCCTCCCAAGATCCATTGTCCCCACTCACGTGAGAAGATAGCAGAGCCAGAGAAACTGACTGCTAGAGTCTACTGGGACCCACCCGTGGTGAAAGATTCTGCTGATGGTACCATCACCAGGTGAGCTTCAGTAACACATGCTTTCCAACAGTATCTCCCAGTCCCTCAGTCTGTTCATATTGAAACTGTACAGGCTGAGACCACAGTGATGATGTTCTTCAGATCTCAATTCTAAGTATCTTTTTCCTCAGTAGCTCCTTCATCCTATCTCAATCAGGGTAACACTTCGGGGCCCAGAGCCTGGTTCTCACTTTCCTGAAGGAGAGTATGTGATTCGTTACACCGCCTATGACCGAGCTTATAACCGGGCCAGCTGCAAGTTCATTGTGAAAGTACAAGGTCAGAAGAAAATTCTTCAGTTTTTACATTGTTCATTGTTCCTGCTCTATCCTGAGTTTCTATAAGCCCCCAATGACCCTCTCCTCTCTATGCCTGAAACAGACTTCACCAAAACAGGTTCGTTAATGAAGCTTCCATTACATGTACATACAAATGCTACAAAAACTTTGACTCTTTATTCTTATTCTCCGAAAACTAGATAAAATTCATGAAGATACTCTGTATCCATTTCTTTTCTTTTTTTAAAAAATAGTTGTAGATGGACACAATACTTTTATTTTATTTTTATTCATTGTTATGTGGTGCTGAGGATCAAACCCAGTGTCTCACACATGCCAGGCAAGCACTGTACCGCTGAGCCACAACCCCAGCCCTCCCATATTCTTTAAAATTTCTTCAGAAATATTATCAATGACAGCATAACATTATGCTCTAAGAATATATCATGATTTGATTAATCCTCCCAATCATGGACATTTACTACTCTTCCAACTTATTTCTACTATAAAAAGTAATTCTGCAAGGTGATCATATTCATACAGGGCATCATAGTATCTGCAAACATAGATGACAATATTTTCTTTCACAGATTGATAGTTTTTTGAAGACAATATATATATTAACCGGTGTTTCTAGTCTCTGTTTATATTTAAAATTTAATTCCTTAAGAAAGGAAAATTCTTGCTCTATCTCCAATCATTGGAAATATAGAAAAATCATCCTGATTATCTCAAGTCTCTTGCTCTAGAAAGCCCAGAGTAGGCACCTTCTAGAAACACCATAATCCCTAACTTGAATTTCTCCCGGACAGTGAGACGCTGCCCAGTTCTGAAACCACCGCAGCATGGCTACCTCTCCTGCACCTCAGCAGGCGACAACTATGGTGCCACCTGTGAATACCACTGTGATGGTGGTTATGAGCGCCAGGGAACCCCCTCCCGGGTCTGCCAGTCCAGTCGTCAGTGGTCAGGATCACAACCTATCTGTACTCGTGAGTGAAATCAGGAAATGGGAATTAATCAAGGGTACTCTGGAGGATTTCCCCATAGCTTAGGGGTCTAATAGTGATGTGAATGATGTGGGAATAGGGGCTTCTGAGACACATCTATTATGAGGGGCAACATTCCACCTAGAATATGCCTACCCCAAGAAGAGTTTAAAATCTCCAAGTTTCTTTCAGGATTTCTTTCCAGGGAAGGGAGAAACAATCAGAAAGATTAATTCAAAAACTGGAACTCCTCAAGATGTTAGCATTACCCAATCAGGTGAAGGAAAAGGACAGTCTCTGACTGGCCATCTACATCTGCCCTAGCCATGAAGATTAATGTCAATGTCAACTCAGCTGCTGGCCTCTTGGATCAGTTCTATGAAAAACAGCGACTCTTGATCATCTCAGCTCCTGATCCCTCCAACCGATATTATAAAATGCAAATCTCTATGCTACAGGTAAGGCCCGCTCCCCTAATGAGGACTTAGCTCCTTTATTTTACCCTCTTATCTTTCTCAAATCAAATTATTGCTTTCTGCAGCACAAATCCCACTTCTTCAAACTTTTACTTGGTAGCATTTGATCAGTTATATCATAGATGTATTTAGTAGATTGCTAAAAACTGCTGTGCTTTTACTGAAAAGGCAACAAGGCCACTAAAGTGGTAGATGTGACTTTTGGGGGACTGGGTGAAGGTTGGGAAGGGAGTGTGACAAAGCACTCTAGAGAGACTTATAAGACAGATAAGATCAAATGTCAATTCTAGGAGTTAAATCCATTTGTGTTTTCAAGAAATAATAGCACTAAGGAACACTTAGATCAGAACCTGGTTCTGATCTACATGTTTTGCATATACTCATCTAATTCTCACAATAGTCCTTGTAAGGTATATGCTATTATAATCTCCATTAAATAGGTGGGGGAACTGAGATATAGTGAGATTAAGTGATTTACTCAGAGTCACTATAGTGGTACACCTGAGATTGAACCCAGGCAGTCTAGCTCCAGTGTTTGTGCTCTCAATCACTACCAGTAGGACAGTGATTGTGATATCTCAAAGTAAAAGTAAAGTTGTACGATGATTGTGTTAGCTTTGCATCACTATGACTGATTTAGCAAATGAAAGTTTATTTTAGGATCATAGTTTCAGGGGTTCAGTTCATAGTTGGCCTACTCCATTGCTCTGGGTCTGAGGTAAAGCAGAACATCATGGAAAAAGGGCAAAGCAGAGGAAAACTCCTCAGCTCATGGCATCCAGGGAACATGCAAGCAGTTATAGGGAAACAGGGACAAAAATATATCACCCCCAAGGGCACATTCCCAGTTACCTACTTCTTCCAGCCACATTCTACTTGCTTACAGTTACCAACCATGTAGTGGTCCTTTCAAATTATTCATCCATCAAGTGGATTAATCCACTGATTAGATTATGGCACTCATAATCTAAACATTTCACCCCCTGCCTTAACATAGGAGCTTTTTTCGGGGGATACCTCATATCCAAACCATAACAATTATTTTTAACATACTAAGAGATACCTAGCCAAACTCACTGTTGGGAAAAGGAGAGGTAAATAGGACAGTATAGATATGACCATGAGGACTTATAAAAAGAACACACTAGGTTGCTAAAAAGAATGTTCTGACATGACTAAGTGGTTCTAGGGAGCTTCAAGGGGCCAAATATTTAGGTAAATTCAGCAGCTATTTAGGGGTTTCCTAAAGGTTGAATCATAGAAGTTGTCAAGTCAATGTTAAGAGGCCCATGACGGCAGCAATTTAGCCAAAAAGGTGAACCTGGGAGTCTAGACCAAAAATGACCTTATATCTCCATGGATCCCCAAAAAACAGACAAAGTCAACAGTTTAGTTTAATGGGAAGCAAGAAAAAAAAAAGGAATCTGCCATCAAGGACAGTGACTTTGAGGTCAGGATGAGAGGAGGAGATCAAAGGCAAAACAGATGTGGGGCACCAGAGAATGTTCAATACCACTTTAAGCCTCATTCTGGCAACTGGCTAATAGGAGACCTTACTGTACAAAGCAGGACAAAGAGCCAGTATATGTAGGGTTACAGGATTTTGCTACCCAGAAGGCAATTAAGGGGATAAAGACCACTGGCAATTATTTTGGATAAATTGACTGAGAGAAGGCCCTGGGATGTAGCCTAGTGATAAAGAGGACATACTTGGGTAAGGGGTATAAGTCCTCAGTCTGAATCTTATTGTCATACAAGTTTGGGCAAGTTACTTTTGCCTTTCAGAATGACACCACCTACCTTGTCAGGTCTGTTGTAAGGATTAAATTAGTTGATTTCTACAAAGTATTAAATAAATGTAAATAAATAAGAAACAATAGTCATCATTATCATATCACAATAGCCATCCATTAAGAACCTAAGTAGTTTAAAACCTATGAAAAGCTAAGCAATGATTGATTATATTCCCGCAGTAGCAGCTTAATAATTATGATTCTCTTTTCTATCCCTCATTGTATAACCAGTTTCATACACTTCAGTAGAAGGAATGGAACAATTTTGTAGGACTGATGGAAGGAAAAGGTTTTGTAGATCTCATATTGTGATCAGTGTGATCCTATGATTGTGTGATCCTATGATTGTGTGATCATTGCAGGAGAAGCCCCTCCTGTCCCACACTGCCTCATGTGGTCTCAGAAGGAATCAATCAAGTAGCCTGAGATTCGAGGGCAAAGGCCTGTTCCATTAAATGTTCTCTCCCTCTTCCCAGCAATCCACCTGTGGACTGGATCTGCGGCATGTGACTATCATTGAGCTGGTGGGGCAGCCGCCTCAGGAGGTGGGGCGCATCCGGGAGCAACAGCTGTCAGCCAGCATCATCGAGGAGCTCAGGTCCAGGCTGGGAGGCTATAGGTTGGGGATGGGCAGAAACCCTAGGCAGGAAGGACACTAGCAACAGAGGGTTGTGACAAAACTACTCTCTTGAGTTACTTCTTGTGTTTGCACTCTTATGGATGCATTAGGTAAGACCAGAGAGTGATTCTTAACACTGGCAAGGCATGTGAATCAAATGGGGCTTGAAAATGCAATTACCAGGCCCCATCTTTGTGTTTTTTTATAATGGCACCTCAGATAACTTTGAAGCACAGTCAGGACTGAGACAGTTAACCCAAACTTGACTCATAGCAGCCTGAGATCCTGTTGCTTCATGACTTTCTCTTTTTACCTTCTGTCTCCAAAAGGCTTCTTTAGGCACTAAAATCTGAATCATATTCATCAGCCCATAGGGAAGAGGTAAGATGTGACAGGTGGTAGAAGTTGACTTTTCTCATCATCTATACATTATCAGCCTTCCAGTGCTCCCACATATACTCAGGGACAGTAAAGCCATCTGTGTTGTCTGTTCTAGAAACAATACCTGCTTCCAGGGCTCAATATTAGTGGGGATATTCAGTCTCAATTAGAAAGACTAGGAAATACTCAGAGGAAGAACACTGCAGACTTGCAGCCTTGGATGGAATAGTTAATCAGGTAGTATTTATCACCTTCAGGGCTGCCATGTATAATGTGCATGTGTATCATGGTGTCTATGATGGGCACCCCCTGGAGTTATTCCATGCAGGATTCTTAGTCCTGCTTAAAGGAGTCTACAATAGAAGCACATCCTGGTAATAATAAAGTTGCCCCAGCTGGGATGAGGAAGGGAGAGCTTAGCAGTGCTAAACACATAGAATCAGCAAGATTTGGACTTCAGCAGAAAAAAGCAAATGAACTTGAGATAGATAGGTAGTAGAGGAGATGGAGATGGGATTTGGGAGGAACTAGTCCATCAGTGGAGCTGTGAAAGATCAGAGGGTAGTAGAGCCCTGTGGGACAAATGCTCACACCTTCCTGGGCTGCTCTCTCTAGGCAATTTCAGCGCCTTACTCGCTCCTACTTCAATATGGTGTTGATTGACAAGCAGGGTATTGATCGGGAACGCTACATGGAACCTGTAACCCCTGAGGAAATCTTCACATTCATTGATGACTACTTGCTCAGCAACCAGGAACTGATCCAGCGCCGGGAGCAAAGGGATGTCTGCGAGTGAACTTGAGCCAGGGCAAGGTTGATGTCAAGGGAAAATTCCCCTAGTTAGCTGAAACTGAGGCCTAATAAAAGAAAGAAATTGTTTCCCACAGTTCTAGGGACAGGACTCTGAGGTGAGTGAGGTTTGCCAATCCAGAGATATTTCTAGACATCATTTTAGGACTGTGCCATAGTTTCCCTAAGCAAGTCTATGATTCAATTAGCACTGGAGGAGACTCCGAAGCTAAGCAGGGACTGAGTACAGGCTTTGAGCAGTGCATTGGGGATAGGAAGTCTTCATTTCCTAATCCGGGCCTCTGCCCTGCTCTCCAAAGTCTCTCAGATAAGTAAATTCTAAATTGATTCACTTACCAGTTGTGTTTTAAATGCTTCCTATACCCTGAGGTGACAGCAGAGGGCAGCACCATTGCAAAAGACAACCAGTACACTTCAAGAAGTGTAGCTGCATTTTCCTTACAATGTAACTATCTCTGTGGCTGCGATGGGATGGCATGGATCTACAAAACATTCTTGAACCTATTTGTCATTTCCCCTTGTAGGGCACTGGGCTAAAAATATTGTTTGAACTATTGCTTCATCAAGAGTTACAAAAACATTGCCATGGGAGGGAGTTTGGAAAGAAATAGCTAGTCACAGCATAATGCTTTCTCCTGGCCCTTCCAGCCGGCTCACAGGCAAGAACCTCTACCTACTGAGGCCTCCATTCCCCATAACAAAAGGTAGACAGTATTGTTCCTTCATTAGGGGAACCTCCTTCCCATTCCATGATCTAGGGTACTTCAAAACTACCACTGAAGAAAGTAGGGAAAGAAAGCAGACTCCGCCTCTGGTATTAACTTCCTCGGATAGCCACAGAGCAGGTGGGAGCTACAGTGGCACAAAGTCAAATCTTAAGGAGCAGGCCTGAAAGTAAATTGAGGATGGGTTATTGGGCTTTTAGAAAATGGAGCCACAGAGTCCTAGTTTTTGTTTGTTTTGTATGTATATGTGTGAGCTAGGGAATGAACCCATGGCCCTGCACAGACTATGCATGCACTCTACCATGGAATTACCTCCCCAGCCCCACATTCTTCTTCAGTCCTACCCAGTGGGATGTCAATGTTTGAAAGAAAAGTGTTCTTCCCCTTGCTGTTGAGAACCTTCTTTTATAAGTTCATGGAACCCAGAGTCATAATTAAGACTAAGCAGTCTTTTTCCTTTGATTTTAACCAGGGGTCATCAATGGAAAGCTAGAGGGGAGAGGAAGTAGGCTGGCTGGGAGGCTCAAGCGTTCACTATGTGCCAGTGCCATTCTAAATACCCTACTGATTCACTCTGAGGTCTTCACAAGAAACCTATAAGGTAGGAACTGTTATTACCTCCCTTATACAGATAAGAGAATTGAAGCTCAGTGAGAATAGGCAATCTACCTAAGATAACTAATAAGTGCCACTTACTTATTAGTAACAGAGTAAGCATTAAAACAGTAGCAGTCTGTCTCCAGAGTCAATGTTCTTAGTTTGCCATCTGGCTTCTACTTCTTTTTCTACTCCCCATTTAAAGTCAGCTGAACACTCTAAGCAAGAAAGTTTCCATCTTCTAAAATCCTATTCAGATACAAGACTCAGAGTAGTCCCTGGAGGAAAGAGGGAAATGAACATCTTTCCACCCAAGAAAATTTGCTCTTTAAAGCAGAGTGATAGGACATAAATCATGAGTCCAGAACATATGGGGGTAGTAGTGAGTGAGAGAGAAGCTATTTCCACTGGGGATTTAGTGGAAATCTCATTTTCAAAATGCAAAATAAAATGTTAGGCAGCTTCTGGGTGGAATGGAACATGGAAGAAATGATCAAACTTAGAATAAAAAAATCCCTTCTTCATCTTCCCTTCAGGGGAATACAGAAGCTTTGAAAGGCCAAGGGCGAGTTATGGGTAGAAGGCAAAATACAATGAGTTCATGTGGGAAATTTCTGGTTAGACAAGGTCTGTGGTTCCAAAGGCAAAGATTGCACACTGGGGAAGATAAATGCCCTTCCTTGTCTTTATCACTAATACTCCAAGTGGCAAGCCAGGATAGACTGCAAGCCAAAGACCCAACAGATAACATAGGGGGCTCATTACTCCCTGAGCAGAGTTCCCACCTGGGCCTGATTCTTGCATGTAATGCTTCTCTAGCTTAAAACAACTAAAGAGCTATAATTTCATTTTGAGTAGTCAAAACAAGTCAATCTTGCTTTCTTTTGCTAGTTTTACTATAACCTCCTTTATAGATTATGACTCAAGAAATCCCAACTCCTAAAGCAGGGGAAAGAGATTGAAGTAGGGATGGGGTTGTGGCTCAGTAGTAGAGTGCTTGTCTAGCATATGCGAGGCCTGGGTTCCATCCTCAACACCACATAAAAATAAATAAATAATTTAAAAAGAGAGAGACCGAAGCAGAACCAGGCCCACAGCCAGCCCAAAGGGACTAGCAAGACCCTGATATATACATATCTCTATTTCTCTCTTTGAACCTCTCTGGGGACACACATATATACACATACACACACACACAAACACACACACACACACACACACAGAGCTATACAGTCACTAAGCTGGCTAAGAAATAACCAAAACATTCTGATTTTTCTATTTTGTAAATTAAACCCATATTTTAGAAGAGATGAGTCATCCCTTCCTTTGATTCTTTCCATAACACACATACCATTCTCACATGCTTCGTAGAATCAGACCTTGATTCGAATCTCAACTCTATCATAAGGACTCAAGTTTCCTCATCTGTAGGAAGGGAAGATTTCCTACTGTATAAGGTATAATAGAAAGATCAATACATAAAGTCTTATATCAAAAGGCATTTGATAAATATTAATACCTTTTTGCACAAGAGATCAAGAATCACTTGGCCTCTACCTAGAAACCCAGAGCCTAAATTCAGAGATGGGTTACTTAGCATCTGTGTTATTTATTTCTCAAAACTAAATGATGGGGAGCTGGGGTTGTGGCTAAGTGGTAGAGCTCTTGCCTACCATGTGTGAGGCACTGGGTTTGATTCTCAGCACTGCACATAAATAAATGAACAAAATAAAGGTCCATCAACATCTAAAAAAATATTTTAAAAAAAAACTCAATGATGGTAGTAGAAGCAGAGGAAGAAGTCCCCAATTCCCAGAAGAATTGAAGAATCTAGAAAGAAGTGCTTATAACAGGTGTGTTTCTTCGGAGTAGGGGAGAGATGTGAACATCTCTCCCCTACTCCAGCAAGGGAGGATCCATAAAGCCAAAGGTGGACTTCCCTTGGTACTTCAGAAATAGAAAAGTGGTGCTTCTTTTAAGATGGATTTTTAGTTCTCTCCATAGATACCAAACATACAGGACAAGGGATTCAAACCCAGCAAAAGTATCAGGCAGCAATGTGGAGAAAGGCAAATTTTCTTCAAATCAGCATATGATGATTAGGGAAAGGCATTTGTCACTCTGGTTCTTACCCTTCAAGCCAGGTGTAGAAAGGAACAATAGTAAGTCAGGACATCATACACAAAGGCTTCCACAGAACTAATGAATGAAAACATTTGACAAGTCAGAAAGCTTTATTGAAGCACACATTCATTTCAAGGGTGGGAAACAAAAGAGCAAGTTACAACACAGGATCTCAAGTTATGCTTTTCATTACAGTGTCAATCCACACCAAACAAACCTTTTAAAACATTCCTCAGTTTAGTTCACACATACAATAGAAACTGCCATACCTGCCCTCAATCCAGTGGCCTTATAGGACCATCAGCTAGCCACTGCCTCTACTGAAAGGGATTTCTTTTCTGGTATAGACTCCTTCTACACACAATTTTGTGTGGAATACACTCATATGAATAAAAAGGTCAGTTTGTAAGAGTATAAGGAAGTGAAAGTTAGTTTACCAGAACGTTCTTCAAAAAGCCTCAACACTACCACACCCATGTTACATGTAGGTCAAGTTGAAGAAACAATAGAAAAAATGGGAGCTGAAACTACATCAGGTAGGAGGTCAGAATAACTGGGAGATTCTCTATCCACATTCTCTTGGAGTACTAACAGTCCCCAGTCTGGGCAAGCACTGTGCCATTTTAGACAGTCTTTGGCTCTTCTGACTGATACAGAGGTATGTGGACCATATTCTGCATAGCAACACATCTCAGACACAAACACTGAGGAAGATGTGGAACATGAGTGAAGATGTCTCATCTTTCATTAGAGAAGTGACTTCTCTCTCAGTTAACTGCTGTTATCAGTTTAAAATTCTGAGACATCAGTATGAGCTGTGAAACACTTTACCCTCAGTCATGCAAGTCCTCTGGGATCAGCCAGAAGGTCTCACTGGGCATGTTCATGACTCCGTCAAAAGGCCATTATCTAATTAAAGTGCTTTTCTAAACTAACTCCATTATAAGGATTCCCCAGAGGTATAGTAAAGGCATATAGAACTGGAAGGAGCTGGGGAGTTTTCTTTTCATTTCAGAGAAAACCATACACCCAAGCAAGGTGAAGACTACTTAACAAGAAGAAAAGTTAAAAGCCAAGTTCCATAAAATTATCCATGCACAACATGAGTTAAAAGTATAAATTAGAAGGAGAAGACCTATTTACCTCTCTCCCATATTGCCCTGTCTTTAGTGACCCAAAACTGCTTCCCAGAACCTTATCCTCAGATCAGGTACACCTTAAACTACAGACTAAAACTAATGCCAAAGGTAGCCAAGGCTCCCTGGAGAAATAAGAACAAAAATATTAAGACAGAAAATAGAAAGTTGTTTTAAAAGGTTTTTAAGTTAATTAAATCTCATAATGATGAAAGAAAGAATGGACTCTGAAATATACTAGATTGTACACAAATAAAAACATTTCAAAGAGGCCCTTTTTCTTGAGCCTGCTTTTTAAAGGGGAACAAGGCTGCATCACTCTAGCTAGCATAAGATTTGCAGAAATACATGCTTGTACATACACATCCAACACACACACATATTAAATTAGAAATATTTGCTCTTAGTTTTGTTACTTCCTCTGATTTGCCCTGGCCAGGGCTAGACCTGTAGAATATGACAGGAACTCATAAACCCAGCTTCTGCTTGGCCATTGAAGAACGGAGTTGCAGAGTCCCTTCAGCCCAAGACCCTGGGTACTGTCGCATCTTCTGCCACAGGCTCACTTCTTCCCCAGTCGAGTCCATCCAGTCCACCACTTCCCCATTACTGATCCCTGAGGAGAAATACCAGAGAAGGCTGACCAGAGACCCCATTGCTTGACTCATCAATGATGGGTCATACAGCAAGGGTAGCTGCTCCAAAGAAAATGTGCTATGAAAATGGGCTGATGGGGACAGCAATCTGGGAAGTATTCCTTATTGATCCTGCTCAGATATTTCTGTGATCCTGAGACTATAAGGAGATTTTGGGTTGATGAAACAGTACTACAAATACCACAGGGTCACTAGAGACTTCTTATTCAGAGGATGATACAGAGCTCTGGAGTCTGTTGCCAATGCCAGAGCATTTGTCCTATTATTTCCAAATGGATTTGAATTTTTAAAAATCTGAACAACTTTTTCTCTAGCTGTAGACTCCAGCCCAAAGTTAGATGTGGCATCATTCCTATTCTTTTGTTCATTCATTCTTTTAATAAATATTTACTGAGTACCTACTATGTGCCAGGTATTCTTATAGCCTCTGGAGATATAATGATGAAGAAAGCAGAAAAATCACCCTGCCTTCAGGCAGCTTTAATTTGAATAAAAAAGAAAATAAAACAAGACAATTAACAAAAGATTGTGAGGATAATGTTATGAAGTAAATCAGCAGGGGGATTTAGAGTGTCTGGATTAGGACCTACTGTAGAACGAATGGTCTGAGGAACTCTTGGTGAGTTAAGACCTAAAGGATAAGAAGCAGCCAGTCTTTCCAGACAGAAGAAACAATAATTGCAAAGGTTCTGAGGTGGAAATGAGCTTGGTATATTTAGAGAAAAGAACTAAATTATCATGGTTGGAGCACAGTGAGCAGGTGGGAGAGTGCTATGAGAAGGATCAGAAAGAACAGAGGGTCCATATTATACCAGGGCTTATAGGCTTGGCATATAGGCTTGGTACACACCCCTATTGTTTTCTAAATATGAAACAAGTCACTGAATAGTTTTAATCAGGAGACTTACATGGACTAGCTTATATGTATAAAACATCATTCTAGATGCTTTATGTTAGTTATTAATAAACAAGTAGTATTTAAGGTCATAGGAATGCAGATTGTGGAGAGAGAAAAGAAGAGGACCTGAGACTACTTGTATTTAGATTTTGAGTATAGAATGAGGAACCCACAAAGAAAACTGAGAAGTGAAAATCAGTTGGTTGAAAGGGAATCAAAGAGTATAAAATCAATAGAAGTATTTCAGGAAAAAGGGAGTGATAATCTATGTTAAATAGTGCTAAAAATTCTAGTGCAAACAAAGGAAAGTTGAGGAAGTAGAGACCATTATTTTTAAGAAATTAGAAAGGGGACATGTAGTCAAGAAAAGGTTTATTTTTATTTAATAAGATTTGGAAACACCAGAGCATATCTGTATTCACCTTCAACAGGTAGGGAGAATGGAACTTATCATATGGGAAAGATGGAGATTACAGAAGTGAGGTCATTGAGAAGGGGAGAGGGTGGTACAGAACACAGAGAGAGATTAGCTTTTACAAGTGAGAACCTTTTATTCATTGTAACAGGATAGAATATAGCATTATACATATAGATATATAGGTAGGTGTGTAGATTGTGTGTGTGTGTGTGTGTGTGTGTGTGTGTGTGTAAGGATGATGGAGTTCCTGACTATCAGCATCACATTTATCTATATACATAATATCAATGACTTCTGCCTTGCTCTAGGCCTGGCACATAGAACGTACTCAACAAATATTTGTTGAGTGTCATCTGAAAGGAAAGAAGACAAGTCCCATCATAGAGGAGCTTTGTGTTTCTGGAGGTGGGAGGTGCTGGGAGTGAAATAGATAAGAGACAACTGAAGATGGAGGAAAAAACTCTCACCAGTGCCAACACCTAGTCTGACCCCTCCTAGGAAATCATTGCTGGCCAGGGGCTCCCGGTCCCACACAGTAAGTTCCAAGCACATGTGTTGTAGATCTTCCAGCCTCACACCATTGTAGACAAATGTATGGTTGTAGTGGGGATTCAGGGTCTTCTTCATCACTGGAGTTTTACGCTTACTGGCCTTGTTCCTCGTAGGAAGGAGGTATCTGGCAGAGGGTGGGGAATAATCAACACCTACTCAAAGCTTGGCAGTATGTGTCTAAATTCCTCTTTCCCTTACCACAGGCTTAGCCCAGGAAGGTGAGTCAACACCTAGATCCATGTGCATGCACCCCTTCTTTGAATCTGTTGAAGCAGAGTTCCTACTCTCCCCACTAGTTACTTCCCCTGATTTAATTCCTTTAACTTGGAGAAAAAAAAAATGAATATATTATTAGTCAGGTTTTGTCTATGCTCTACCAAAAATGAGTTTTCTATATGCTTCCATTCCTCCTATGCAAGGTAAATAAAACAAATAGTAATATCTATTGATCAGGATTGGTTTGGTTTGACTTAGCTGAACATGATTTGATAGAGAGCATGAGTCAGTGAGTGACCTTTAATTTGGAGGGAGCTAGCATTGCTTAAAAATTATGGGGAACAAAGCACTGAGTCCCCAAATCTAGTCAGGGAATACAGATTCTTACCTAGGACTAATTAAGAACATGAATCAGAAAAAAGTCAGAATCTGTCTACCACCCTCCTCTTTGTATATTAGCACCACAGCACAGTCCAAACCGAGTTCAGGCCAATGCAAAGGTGGTAGTGGAGGTTTTTCCATTACCTAATTTCAGAAACATAGTTGGTTCCTGAGGGTGGTAGGACACATAAGCAGAGTAACAACAGGGAAAGGTCAATTGGATTTCTCTGTTAACTATCTTATCTTGAAACTTCCTAGTTTGGTGCTGGTCCAGGGACTCACCCCTTGACAAAGCTGTCTGAAGTCCCTCCTGATTTGGCAGCTGTCAGATTCTTAGCTTCTTTGATCCATACCTGGAGCTCTCCCCCTTCACCACCTTTATCTGTAAGGAATGTTAGATATAGCAAGTGAGCCCCTATACCTCCAGGTTTATCTTAAGATTGATCTGCATAGTGGTTTATCTTAAGATTGATCTGCATAGTCCTGAAGGTAGCAAGATCCATAAAACAACTGAACCATGCCTGACTTGTACTCTCAGTAACTAGCACAGTGCCTGTAAGCAGTAGGTCCTCAATTAATTACAACCCCAATAGCAATAAACACTTATTGAAAACTGGCTACGTGCCAGACACTACCTTAAGCATTTAATTCTCAAAACAATCCTATGAAATACACACTATTACTATCATTTTATAGATGAGAAAATTGAAGTTTGGAAAAATAAAGTTTCCTGACATTTGCTGAATGATTTTAAAAAGAGATGGGTTTGATGGTGTACTTCTGAAGGCTGAGGCAGGAAAATGACAAATTCCAGGCAAGCCTTGGCAATTTATCAAAACCCTGCCATGTAGTTCAGTGTAGAGCACACTTGGTACAAAAACATACAAAAAATGAATGAAATAATTAAAAATTCCAAAAAAGGAATCCCTCTGTTTGACTTCTTGATCCCATCCTTACTTCACAGAACTAATCAAGCAATATCAATCAAAACCCCATCACCATTTTAATATTTCTTCCTCTACTAATCCCTTCCCCTCAATCTAGATTTATGCTAATTTCATGTCTTCTTTATTTAAAAATCTACTTAAAAGAAAACCTCCCCTCAACCTTATCTCTTCTTCCTCAGGCTATTCTCCATATCTTTCTTTTCTTTCCTCATCAATCACCCTGGAGGGGAAAAGCCCACATTTACCACCTCTATTTCTTTGCCTCATGCACTCAACCTAGTTTCTAGTGAAATCTGGTTTCTGCTTCCATGAATCAGTTGAAAATGCAATGAAATACCAGTGAGCTGTGTCTTCTCAGTCCTCATCCAGCCTGAGCTCCTTGTAGTATTTTAGTACTGTTAATACTATCAACAACCCGCCCTCTTCTTCCTGAATCTCTCTCCTGAAGTTTCTCTCTCAATAAACCCTACTTCACTGATATTTATTCCTCTTATCTAACTGTTGCTGTTCCCTGTGGTTACTTTCTTGCCTCTCATCTCTAGTCATTCTGCACACTCTCCTCCCAGACCTCATTGTTTCCTGAAATCTTCTAGATTAGCCCTTGCTGGAGGTATAATTTTAAGAACTCTGATTTCCCATTGCCAACAAATCAAGTTGAATTTACATTCAAAGCCCTTCTCATTGGGACTTATCTCCAATCCCAGCCCCAGTCCCAAATAGACAAATATATACCAAAACTCCAGCCCCACTGAATGAAGTGATTTACTCCCAAACATTCACACATAACCACATATTTCTCAGGCACTTTTAAAACCTGTGCTCATGCTATCCCGTCTTTGGGGTATGTTCTTGTCTCCTTGTCCTCCCTCATTTTCTGCCTGACAAAATCTGAAGATCTAATTTCAATGTTAATATTTCTTCAAAGCTTTCCTAAATGTAACTAGATAGAATTCATCACTCCTGTATCTGGGTACCTTTTAGCACATGACTATCTTTCTTGCTAAGCTAACTGCCTCAAGGGAGAGCAAATGTATGTCTTATTCATCTACATGTCTGTAGTCACTAGCATACTGCTTGGCAAGTTGGATAATTGTTCCTCACAGCCTTCAACTTCCTGTTTCTCATACTTTATTACCCTTTCCAACCACCATTCTCAGCCTCTAAGGTTTTGTTGTCTTTTGCCCTCTTAGCATCTTGCCATAGCTGGACCAAGACCAACTTAGTTTAATATCCTAAAAAATAATTTTTAAAAATGAATGCCAAGGCCTGGGGTTGTAGCTCAGTAGTAGAGCGGTTGCCTCACATGTGTGAGGAACTGACAAAGGTTTGATCCTCAGCACCACATAAAAATAAAAATAGAGATTTTTTTTAAATGAATACTAACCCTAAAACATGTAGAATGTATACCTTTTCTACATTCTGGTTGAAAATGTAGAAAAACCTTCTAGGGAAGAAGATCCAGGGAAGATCCCAGTCTAGACTCTTCAACAGTGCCAGCACCAGTCTCATACAGATCCTGTGCCCCTTTATTTGGGGCCCCAAATAAAACTCACTTTTTTTCCGGCTGCCTCCAGCAGGGAGTTTGGAGGCTGGAATGTATTTCAATGAAACCACCAACTCTCCTTTGTATAATGGTACACCAGTTGGAGACTCACCACTGATCTGAAACACAGGGAAACCCAACAGGTCAAATCAGACTTCTCAGGAACTGTAGGGACTTCACCCTGAAGGGATACTAAAAATATCCCTGAAGAACAGCTTCATGGCATAAGAGGATCCTTCTACTTCTGGATATAATGCAGTCCCTAGGCCATGTTCGCCACAGGCTTCTAAGGCAATTTCTTCCAGAAGAGAGGCAGAAGAACCAACAAAGACTCTTCTACAATACTCACTATTATGCCACTTTGGGAATACAATTTCTAGATTCTGATACTCTGGCCAGGCATGGTGGCACACACCTATAATCCCAGCAAATTGGAAGGCTGAGGCAGGAGGATTGCAAGCTCAAAGCTAGCCTCAGCAATTTAGTGAGGCCCTAAAGACTTAGCGAGACTCTGTCTCAAAATAAAATGTGAAAAAAAGGGGGGCTGGGGATGTGGCTCAGTAGTTAAGAAACCCTAGGTTCAATCCCTAGTACAAAAAAAAAAATTAACCAATACTCTAAAAGGTCTGCCAGCACAGTTGCCATACAAACTCAGAAAGGATTGACACCATGATGAAGACTCTTGCTATCAGAATGGTCATTAATAGCCCCAAAGTGGAAACAATCAAAATATTAATCAATATAGTAAGGATTCAATGAGTGATTTTAATGCCTTCATGTGGCATATGGCATGCAGTATTGAGAAAGTATGTAGACTTTGAAGGGACAACTATGTCTGATGACCCAAGTATAAGTAAAGTAAGGTGGAGTGCCACTGCAGAAAAGAAACTACTCCTTTGGCTAACACCTTGAATATGGACTTCCTGGGACAATCTGACAGGTTAAACCAGGAGTTACTTGGATGAATCTGGCTACAACTATATATCTTGGCTATGTGTCTATTGTCCCTTTATAGAAAATGATTTTTTCAGGTTAGATCTTAGCTGTAGGTAAGATGTACTTAATTATATGTCTACAAAATGACTAACTTTTAACTATTGGTTAAAAAGAAACCAAATTTTGTGATTTCATTTTTATTCTAACAAAAAGGAATACTGACATGTAAAGATTCCAAGACATACTATTAAGCTAATAAAGCAAGATGCAAAAAAAACTCACTCACTCGTATCAAAATATACTTATGTGAATATATACATATGCAAATAACGATGATTATCATCATCACTTTTTTAATATTTTTTAGTTGTCAGTGGACCTTTATTTGTTTATATGTGGTGCTGAGATTTGAACCCAGGGCCTCACGTGTGCTAGGCAAGCGCTCTACCACTGAGTTACAACCTCAGCCCTATTATCATCACTTTTATAGCACTTATAATGTGCCGACACTGTTACAAGCTTTTTAAAAAAATCATTTTGTTTGATCCTCAATACAGTCCCTATAGAAATGAGTTTATTATCCCCATTTTACAGGCTATGGAACAGAGGGATCAAGTAACTTGCCCAAAGTCACACATCTAATAATTGGCAGCACCAGGATTCAAATTCAGACAGATTGGATCCAGAGTCAATGCTTTTAATCATTATTAGTAAAACCCAGAAAGATCTGGACAAACATTTGTTTCCTCTAGGGAAGGTAGCAGAATGGAGAAAGGAAAGAAGACTTTTCCTTTTTACTCTATATTGATTTCTACAGTGTTTTTAAAAGTGAAAATGCATGTATCACTTGCATGATTTTTAAATACAAAAGATATTTTTTTAAAAAAGGGCATGTGGCATGAGAGTACACAGCCCAGTGGCAGAGTTTACCTAGCATGCACAAGGTCCTGGGTTCCATCTCAGCACCAAAAAAAATAAAAGTGAGCTTAGAGACATTTGAGAGCAAGGTAGAACTCTCACAAGGTTCAAATATGCTATATTTTCTAAAAATATGTATTATTATATTAATATTAATATAATATTATTTTTCTTAATATTTGTCTCTACCATTAAAACCTAGATGCCATGAAGACAGGTTTCAAGTCTATTTTTGTTCATCCTAGTATGTCCAACCCTTAGTCAAAGTACCTGGGTGAATGGGGTTGTGGCTCAGTGGTAGAGCACTCACCTTGCACATGTGAGGCCCTGGGTTTGATCCTCAGCACCACATAAAAATAAATAAAACAAATGTATAAAAAAATTAAAAAGTACCTGGCACATAGTAGGTACTCCACAAATATTTATTTAATGAATTTATTGAGTGAATGAATGCATATCTGGGATGAGTAGCCTATCATCTCTGGCTTTGAGTGGCAGAATTGTTTTACTTTTTTGGCTCTTTCTACAAGAATCTCTTCTTTATGATTTGGCTTTCAGACCAGGAGCTCCTACAGACTGGAGGTACTCTTTCACCTGCTGGTATTCATTAGGGCTCTTCTTAACTATGCCCTCACCACTGAGCATAACCTATGGGGATTATTCTTTCCTACCATCTTAAATACCTAAAGCATTTGGCATGCAAGTCATTATCTCAGTTTGGATCAATGTAACACATATCCAGAATACACAAAGTTTAGTATATGAGAGAGATACAGAAGAATTGGGAGAAATATGCCAGCAAGACAAAATGGAATGGGAGCAAATGAATTGTTGGGGCAAAAAAGAAAAACCCCAAAACAACAAATGTAGAATGTTTTAAATTAAAGGAGAGGCCTGGGGTTGTGGCTTAGTGGAACAGTGCTTGCATAGTATACACTGGGTTAGATTCTCAACACCACATATAACTAAATAAAAATAAAGGTCCATCTACAACTAAAAATATATAAAATAAATTAAAGAAAATATATAATATGGGGATGATGTTTTTGTTGTTTATAAAATGTCTACAGAACTTATTAATTTCTAAATTGTAAACTTCAGTGCCCTTAAAAATGGAAGTTTAGCATTAGCTAGAGACTAGCATATTTTTTCAGTAGTGCATTTTCATTGTGGACCAAAATATTTGCAAAGAGTATAGACCTCCATTTTAATGAAGCTTCTTTTTTATATAAGACATTTTTATTAACAGTAGTTCAGGATGGTTTACAGTCACATTTCCAATATAATATATATACTATAGGCCACTGAGAGAATGATTTTCCTGCCAAATGCTTAAGAAAATCTAAATTTAACAAATTTAATGATAACAAGTAGTAGCTTTGCTAATAACTGCTTTCTTGGTTTATTATTATTATTTTTAAATGAAATCAATAGTATTAATGCTTTTAGGACAACAGCTATAAAATTATTGGATATATACTTCATTTGACTCAGCAATATAGATGTTATCAGTGTGATTTTTTTTCTCTTCCACATTTTTATTGATGCATTATAATTATTTGTTATAGTAAGATTCACTAACAGTATTTCTAAAAAATGAAATTCACTTTCTTTTTATACACTTTACATTGTTTTAATTTGCAATCACATGCATATAAATTCTTTTATGATTAATTCTCTTAACATAGTATAAAGCTCAAAAGTTTTAGAAAGCTAAATCTTCCCTCCATCTCAGACTCCCTTCCTAGAAGCCATCACCATTACTAGTATTGTGTCTACTCTTCCAAAGATATCCTATATTTCATATATTGTTTTAAATACTTAAATTGTTATCATAAAAATAGTTGTTTTCATATAGTTCTGATAATGAAGAAGTTAATTAAGTTATTAACTTATCTGTTTTGGCAATTTTATCTAATCAGAATGACAGTATTGACTGTCCATTATATGCCAGGTACTGACTGGTACTTCCCATACAACCTTGCAAAAGAGGAATAGTATTTTTATCTTTATTTTATAGATGAAGAAATGGAGGCTCACAGAAGTTAGGTGACTTCCCTAAGTTAATTTATAAGTTAAGTGACTCACCTAGCTGGCAAGTGACAGAACCAAGATTCCAATCCAGGTCTGCACTCAGATCCCAGGCACAATTATGCCACACTGCTACACTCTCACTTGAGGTGCCATCTCCAAAGTAAAATATTCCCTAGCCTGTGTAAGCAACCAAGAGTACAGAAATTGGAGCTCTGTGAATTGCTTTATTTGCCACTTCTTTAGCAAGGTCAGCTTGGGAAAGGGGTGCAGATGAGGATACACCAAGTTTAGCGTGAAGAAAAGGTACAAGTTAGGAATTTTAGGATTCACCCAGATTATGGAAGGTTAAGAGGCAAAGCCTGGAACATATATGAAAGATTTTTGAAGCAAATCCATGGCTACATACTGTCCCTGCCTTACACAGAAAAGATTTCTCACCCTTGACATACAAGAGCTCCTGAAATTGCTGTCAAACTCAAAAATGCCATCAGGGTGTGCTAGAACTCTACAGAAGACTACATTCAAAACTGTTATCAACAAACCAGCAGAGGTCACTGCAGACAATTCTACCTCAGACCCAAGCTGTGAAAGCAATTGTTAAAGCTGACTACCTTTCCGTGTAAAGGGAGACAATGATCCATTTTCTTATCAAGCTTCCAGGAATCCATCTGAACCTCCGCCTCTCCAAGGAAAGTGTTTCTGCCAAAACGACCATGATGCCAAACTGAAAACTGCAAAGTTCTTTGGGCCAGGAGAGATTCTGGAATCTCATACTGTGAAGGGAAAGTAGAAGTCCAAGATGGTTAGTTAGTAGTAATTTATCAAAATAGATTTTTTTTCCAAATCCTAAGTAATCCATACTTAAAGTCCATAGTCCTAAATATCAAATTACTTTAGTCCCTAAGCACTAAGTTTCCTCATTCAAAAAGCTTCAATTTACTCTATTTCACAAAAATCTACCACACTCCATGGGAAGACCTGGAAATTTAATTGATTTTTTTTTGTTGTTGAGTGAATAAGGACACTGGAACATAAAAAAATAATTTCCAAGGAGACTCTTTATTCCAAATAGCTTTTTAAAATGAAATTTTTGGCCACCTGAATCTCTAACCTTGCAATACTCCAAGAAAGCCAGATTACTTTTGTTCTCTTCTCTAAGAGGTCAGGATGTGAACAGATGCCTAGAGCAGATCCTCAGACACAAACATGGCTTACTGAAACCCATGTCAACCAGCCATGTTGCAGAGGTATAGCTCTAGCCTAGCACATAAGACAGAACAAGGTATTTCCCCTCTAGATACTTACCCTGAAGATTTCATCATACAGTGGATTGACAGTATCCCGTTTGATGCTAGTTTTTCTTTTCCCTTGGCGAGATTTATCAGGTAGAAGATAAGTCTTCACATATCTAGCAATCAAAGAGAGTACTGAGTAATTTGCTGTCTTTTCTCAAGCCTCTTCTTTCTTCCCTGCTCTCCATATAAATGTGCCATGATGAAATGCAATGTCAAAAATGTGGGTTGTGACTCAGTGGCAGAGCACTTGCCTTGCACATGTGAGGCGCTGGGTTTAATTCTCAGCACCACATAAAATAAATAAACAAAATAAAGATATGTATCCATCTATAACTAAAAAAATTAAATGTCACATTAAGCCTAGAAAGATATGCTATTCTTGCTTTTTCCCAGTCTTGAGCCCTTTCTTTCACCCATCTATCCATTCCTCCAGGAAGTGATAACCTCAGTTCTAGAATGCCCAGAGATGGGCTAAGGTTGTATCTCAATGGTAGAGTGCTTGCCTGGTATGTGTGAGGCATTGAGTTCCATCCTTAGCACTGCATAAATAAATAAATGTCCATCCACAAATGAAAAAAAAATTTAAAACAAGGCTGCCCAGACAAATGCCAAGGTCTAATCTATCATCTCAGAGCACCAGTTAAGTTCCAGAAGACTCACGGGTTAGAGCGTTTCTTGGCTTCATCAGCATAGGCTAGCTGGTGGCACTCCTTCACATGGATGACCAGAGTCTGTGTCTTCTGCTCAAACTTAAGGGAAAAGGCAATCTTGCCAGTCACAAAGATGTTCCCAAAATCACCAGCTTCACTATAGATGCTCATCATGCTGCCAATGGTACTCTGAAGATAAAACACCCAGAAATGTCTGAGGAAGGCACACTCTGCCACCCACAATGCTCACACTTCCATCACAATAAAGTCACAGTCATCAAACAAAACAAAATGTCAGAAGCTCCTTTAAGGAGAAAATATTGCTAGCAGTCCTTTACCTAGAGGATGAGTCACAGCTAGCAGCACACTTACAATTGTTCAGGTTAATAAATTAGTTTGTGGCTCACCTAGGCTTTTAGCTTCTCTTTTCCCCTCCTTTTACACATTTTATTGTTATTTTTTCACTTGCCCCAGAAAGTGTGCAAGGAGTAGAGATAAGGTGCAATTAAGTCTATTTATAGTTTGTGTTATATATGTTAAACCATTGGGTCTGTGGCTCAGTGGTAGAGTGCTTGCCTAGCATGTGTGAGGCACTGGGTTCAATCCTCAGTACCATATCAAAATAAAATAAAGGTATCATGTCCATCTACAAGTAAAAAAATTAAGAAAACTTTGGCTAGAAGAGGTTAGTTACTAATTTAAATAACATGCCTTTATTATCTACATTATCTCTATTAAAACCTATACAGAAAAGAGACTGCCAGAATTGGGTGCAGGGATAGGGAGGAAATACCACCTGAAGTACAAAGGCATTTTCCTCTCTGGTAGTGATTAGCTGTGTGGGCCTGACATTCTCTTCCTGTGTGTGAATATGAAACTACTCACCCTTGTTCCCAACTGTTTCCCCTAAATAATATCAATCTTTATATGCATGATAGAACTAGGCCAATATTTTTGCTTTGCTTTTGTTGGTGCATTATAGTTGTAAATATTAGTGGGGTTCATTTTGATATAATCATGCATGCATGGAATTTAAGTTACCCTGTTTCAGTCCCCAGTGCCTACCCCTTTATCTCTACTCCCTCCTTTCCTATTCCCCTTATTCTACTCTACTAGACTACTTTGTGTGTATGTATATATATATATATATATATATATATATATATATATATAAAACAGTGATGACAAATAAGATCACCTGAATCTTAGTCACACACACACACACACACACACACACACACACACACACACTAGAGATTGATTGGTGTTGATGAGTGCAGGGAAGGGAAGCAAACTTCACAGCATCTCCTACAAAAATAGCTTTCTTTCTGGGAAGCCAGAAATGGGGAAACATAAAAATAAAAATTATTGCATATGTGTTTACATGAAATCTCAAAGCTTTGCAACAATTATGGTTTCCACTAAAGGAAAATATTAGTTTTTGAAGTTTATCTTTTTTGGTGGGGGTGGATACCGGGGATTGAACTTAGGGGCACTCGACCACTGAGCCGCACCTCCAGCCCTATTTTGTATTTTATTTAGAGACAGGGTCTCATTGAGTTGCTTAGTGCCTCACTAAATTGCTGAGGCTGGCTTTGAACTCACGATCCTCCTGTCTCAGCCTCCCAAGCTGCTGGGATTACAGGTGTGCACCACCATGCCCGGCTCATTTATATTTTTTAATTGGTACTTTATAGATACGCATAAAAGTGGAATTCACTGTGGCATATTTATAAATGTACATAGGGTGATTTTGTGAAATTCTTTCTGCATTTCCTTCCCTTTCCCATCCTTCCTCATTCCACCTCAATCTCCTTCAACTCTACTGATCATACCTCTTTCTTTATGAGATCCAACATGCCACCTCCTTTTCTCTCTTACTTTACTCTAGCTTGGATTTCTGAATCTGGCTTATTTAACTTAGCATGGTGTTCTCTAGTCCCATCCATGTACCAGCATATGTGATAATTTCATTCTTTGTAGCTGAGTAAAACTCCATTGTGTATACATAGAACATTTTCTTACTCCATTCCTCTATCGATGGGTACGTGGGCTGGTTCCATAACTTAGCTATTGTGAATTGTACTACTCTAACCATTAATGTGGCTATATCACTATAGTATACTGATTTTAGTTCTTTAGGATATATTCCAAGGAGTGGGATAGCTGGGTAATATGGTGGTTCCACTCCTAGTTTTCTGAGGAATCTCCATACTGCTTTCCAGTATGGCTATACTAATGTGCAGTCCTACCAACAATGTATAAGAGTACTTTTTACACCACACCCTTTCCAGAAATTATCATTCTTTGTATTCTTGATGATTACCATTCTAACTGGGGTGAGATGAAATCTCAGTGTAGTTTTGATTTGCAATTCCCTGATTGCTAGGGATGTTGAACATTTTCTCATGTATTTGAGTTGCTTCTTTTGAGAAATGTCTGTTTAGTTATTTTGCCCATTTTATTGATTAGGGGTTTTTTCGGTGTTAAGTTTTTTGAGTTCTTTATATATTCTAGATATTAATCCCCTATCTGAAGAGTAGGTAGCAAAGATTTTCTCCCATTTTGTAGGCTTTCTCTTCAGGCTCTTAATATTTCCTTTGCTGGGTAGAAGCTTTTTAATTTCATACTGTCCCACTTACTGACTCTTGGTTTTATTTCTTGCAATTTCAGGGTCTTTTAAGGAATTCAGTGCCTGCACCAATATAATGAAGTGCTGACCTTAAGTTAGGCCCTGATTCTTAAGCATCACTTTAACTTCATGATGCTGACTGATACCATGATTCTTAACCATACCCTGATGCCAAATAAACCTGCCAGAGCTCTTGTCATGATACTCACTTCTTTTTAATGTGAAAATCTGGAGTGGGCTATGATGAAGAAATCTGTTCTTTCTCATTTCATAGCTGAGTACTACTTAAAGGGGAAGTTATAGTTACTGTTCACAAAGCTATATAGCCATACTGACCTAATGTAATATTATCCAGGGTATAGATAGGTTCAGGAAGTCATGTAGATATACACTAAGCATAAGACCATGACCATATAGTCCCAGCTGCTTTGGGTTTGTGAAGGTATAGTAAATCTTTGCTTGTATAGCAGAAAAAGCCCATTCATTCACCTCATGGTTGAGGATAAGTACAAACAAATGCATCTGCTTTACCTGGAAAAGGCATCTAGGCTGATTTTGCCAGGTACTGAGTCTGCTCTAGCAAGGGTCTTCTTTCTTCCTGGAAGTGTCTCTAACCACAGAACTAACAGAACTTACCATGGAGGATCCACTTTGCATGCTGCTTCTGGCTAGTTTCTGGCGATGCAACTTCACCAGGTGGTCAATGTCTTCTTCTTCTTCTGCTTCTTCTTCTTCTGCTTCTGCTTCTGCTTCTGCTTCTTCTTCTTCTGCTTCTGCTTCTGCTATTGCTTTTGCTTCTGCCTCTTTTTCTTCCTGGAGCAGTAAATATAGATTAAGAATTAATAAAAATAATACGAGGGTGCAGGGGCACATGCATAATCCCAGGGTCTCTGGAGGCTGAGGCAGGAGGATCATGAGTTCAAACCCAGCCTCAGCAAAAGTGAGGCACTAAGCTACTCAATGAGACCTTGTCTCTAAATAAAATACAAAATTGGGCTGGGGATGTGGCTCAGTGGTGAAGTGTCCCTGAGTTCAATCCCTGGTATCCACCCCCCCAAAAAAGATAAACTTCAAAAACTAATATCTTTCCTTTAGTGGAAACCATAATGGCTGCAAAGTTCTGAGACTTCATGTAAACACATATGCAAGTATTTTTATGTTTATATGGTTCCCCATTTCTGGCTTCCCAGAAAGAAAGCCATTTTATCATATTTAAAAAAGAATAAGATATAAGTACTTAACATTTTTATAGGAGATATAACTCTTTTCCATTCAACTACTTCAACCCATCCACCCCTTTACATTTTTGAAATAAGTATTTATTTGAGCACTTAACTATATATCCAGCAATATATTAGAAGGTAACAGAGAAAACATTTATTTCCTTTAAGCAAAACAGGAATTGGATTTACTTCAGAAATTGGGGGCAATCAACATTCATGTTGCATTTTTCTTAATAATTAAACAGATTGAAAACAAATACTAAAATCACCTCTACATTTAAAAAAAAGATGAATGTACTGGCCAAATTAAATATATAATAGTACTTACCATATCCACGTTGAGGCCTGGGACAGATTTGCTTCTGTCTCCCAAGGAGCCACTTTCATGCCCCATATCTTCTGGGCGCAGATCTATCACAGATTTAGTGCATTCTGAGTGGAAGACCAAAAACCCAAATCAAAAGAAACCCACTCTACTCCATAACAAGAGCCCAGAAAGGATATTCAGAATTTCAGTCCCAAAGGCTACAAAGGGAAACTGGCTACCTGAAGGCCTGAGGATTTTTCTGGTGTTCTTCTTGAATATCATTTCACCCTCATCAACAGGTACCACATTTTGACCCCCTGAATGAATTTCCTAGGAAAGAATAAGGGAAATAAAATGGAAAAGTATAGTCGGGTAGGTGGTAGGAATGAGTAACAAAGGATAGCATGAAGTGGAATAAGCTTCAGATTTTCAGTCCACTATGACAAACTTACAAGAAAGATTAAATGTATGGAAGTACTACAAAACCTATTTTCTCATTCATTTCAACTAAACCCTTAGGAAATGCTCCCAGATGAATCTGAAGTGAAATTTGTTTAGTTGAATTTCTGATTTGAATTTGGCCTGAGGGGGCTGGGGTTGTATGTCAGTGCTAGAGCACTTGCCTAGCATGTGTGAGACACTAGGTTCTATTCTCAGCACCACATACAAATAAATGAAATAAAGGACCATTGACAACTAAATACTAATAAATGAATAAATAAATTTGGCCTGAGTAAAGAAAGAAGGAAAGAAAGAAAAGAGGAGAGGAGAGGAGAGGGGAAAGAAAGGAAGGAAGGAAAGAAGGGAGGGAGTGAGGAAGAGGGAGGAAGGGAAAGAAGAGAAGGAAAGACAAATAGCCTGGTTTACCTTTTCAACTTGAGATTTAGGAGAAGACATCTTCTTCCATTCTGGAAAGAGGCCAGATTTATCCAGAGAGTCTCTCCTGGAGGCAGATTCAGAAGTTAGAACTAAGTTACCTCCTCCCCTTCCTCTTTTAATCAGGACTCGAAGCTCTAGCAAGGAGGGAGAGTCACTGGCTTGGGGTCATCATAGTAACCAAATCCAAAAAATACACTTCATATCTGATTTACCTTGAAGGAATGCAGAAGATCAAATATGCAACTTTATACAAACACAAACACTCACACTCCCATTCCTAAGGGGCAGTGGCATCAATTGCTTCTGGGCTAGGAAAAATCCTCCAAGGTACAGCAGACTGGGGAACTTAACACATTCCAAGAAGCTGTACCCAGAGCCAAATCAGTAGAAGACCTACTGAAAGACTTCTGGGAAGAAAATACTGCATTCGATTTCCTGAGGACAGAAATCAGGAACACTCAAGGCATAGCAAACATGCATTCTGATGCTAGAGAACAAAATGGGAACGTAGATTGAGCAGACGTAAGGGAAATGGGAAATAGTAAGGAAAATGGGGGAAACCCAACCTGGAGGTGCTGTCTGAGTCAGCTGTGTAGCTATCCAAACTCTCACTCTCAGCCTCTATCACACTCTTTCCACTTTTCTGCTTTGGCACTTCGAATGGCATGCTAGAATAAAAACAAAGAGTCAATATTTAAAGGAAATTAGCTCTCCTGCCTCCAGTAGGACCTCCTTTCTAATAATTCGTTCACTACTGTAGCCTAAGTGATTTTTCTCAAATAAGTATGAGTAGATTGTAAGAACTTCACAGGTTCCCTATTTCTGTTGGGACTGAATTCAAATTACTTGGCCTGGCAGGAAAATCATTATGATTTGAACCCTGCTCAGTACTCCAGCCTCATCTTTCATCCTCCACTCTTCTTTGTACTTTCGTTCTGGAAAGAAGAAAACCTTTTGGTTCTTTGAATATCCCAAAGTTCTTTCTCTTCCTTCTTTTCTTTGCCTGAGATGTTCTTTTCACAATGGCTACTTTTCTTCATCTAGCTGAATCTACTCCTTCTTGAGGTCTCTCCTTATGTTAATTCCTCCAGATTTCTCTGACCATATCCTAAGTCTGGATTAACAAACTTGCTCCCAAAATACCCCAATTCTTGTTAACACTCATAACATATGTAAGTATTTATGTCTTTAAAACAAATTATTTACTTTGTTAAATGATTTGTTTAATGTCTTTCTATTCCAATAGACTAAGTTACATGAGATCAGTGACCACATAGCTTGCGCACCACTGTGTTCCCATTGCTTAGAAGACAGGTTTAGCATAAGTTAGATAGTTAAATGTCTGTTGATCAAATTCTTGAATAAATTCCTTCAATGCAACTTAAGTAGATCCAAAAATAATCAGTATGTCTTAAAGACAGTATACAGAAGTCCAAAGTGGCTTTAAAGCTTAATTATCATAGTGAATGATGAACCTAAGCATTTAAAACAGCAGCCCTCCTAATAAGGTTCCAAGTCCTGAGATTGTATATGCTACATAGAGAGTCGCTGTGGTATATTCATAAATGTACATAGGAAAGTTATGTGAGAATCATTCCACTCTCTTTCCTATTCCTGATCCCCTCCCTTCCCTTCATCCCCCTTTGTCTAATCTACTGAACTTCTATTCTTCCTCTCCATCCTTGTTGTGTGTTAACATCCACATATCAGAGAGATAATATGACCTTTGGTTTTAGGGGATTGGCTTATTTCACTTAGCATAACAGTCTCCAGTTCCATCCACCTACCAGCAAATGCCAAAATATCATTATTTTTTCTGGCTCAGTAATATTCCATTGTGTATATGTACTACATATAGGTTGGTTTCATAGCTTAGCTATTGTGAATTGAGCTGCTAATAAACATTGATGTGGCTGCATCACTGAAGTATGCTGTTTTTAGCTCCTTTGGATATACACCAAGGTTTGGGATAACTGGGAAAAAAACTATGATTACATTCCAAGATTTTTTAGGAAACCATACTGCTTTCCAGAGTGGTTGCACCAAATAAGTCAATTAATACAATACTTCCATGTATAACTAAAAAGAACATTTTTTAACAGAGATATCTGTACCTCCATGTTTATTGCAACATTATTCACAGTACCTAAGAAGTAAAGGTAACCAAAATGTCCATCAACTGATAAGTGGGTTGAAAAAATATGGATATATACAATAGAATATTGTTCAGCCTTTAAAAAGAAAGAAACCCTAGGCTGGGGATATAGCTCAGTTGGTACAGTGCTTGCCTTGCATACACAAGGCCCTGGGTTCAATCCCTAGCAATATACACACATACACACACACACAAAGGAAATCCTATGTTTTTCTACAGTATAATGAACATGGAAGACATTATGCTGAGTGAAAAAAGACAGACATAGAAAGATAAATACTGCATAATCTCACTCATGTGAAGTGTAAAGTCTAACAGAGACAAAGAGCAGAATGGTAGTTGACGTTGAAGAGTACAATGATGAAGAGTTACTGGTGGGGCTGAGGAAGTCAGAGAAAAGTGTTGGTCAAAGGGTAAAAATTTCAGTTAAATGGGGGAACTTTAAGCTTTGGTTAAAAGCTTTTGCTTTCTTGTTTGTTTTAATTTAAAGGATTGTTTTAATGTTTACATTTTATAATGAACACATATTACCTTTTATTCAGATAAAAGGCAAGGAAATATTATTCCCAAGTTTTAACAAGTTTTTAATTAAAAAAATAAAAATAAAACAGCAGTCCTCATATCTAAAAGGCAAAATATCATCCCTGGGCCTCTTAAAGAATTAATAAGAAAAGCAGGAAAAGGGAAAAAGTCATTCTATCTCTAATATCTCAATTAATTTCCCATGACTCCCAGATCTCCATACCCCCAAGGTTTCTTCCTTTAAGCTCACTGGCTGCCCCTTCTCAGTTTCGGTTTCTGGTCCCTCCTCCTCTCTAGGAACTCTACCATTTGGATTGTGTCCAGGCTTCTTCTCAGGGTTGCTTCTCTTCTCCATCTAGCATTACTCTTAAATGATCTCATCTTGTATCATGGCTTTAAATATCACCTATAAGCTTATAACTTAAATGTATGTCTTAAATACAGACTTATTTTTCCGATAGCCTACTCAGCCTCTCCAACTTGGATGGGTCAAACACAAGTCTAAAACCAAAGCCCCAATCTTCGCCAAAACCGGCTCTTCACTCAATCTCATCAAATGGAAACTCCCTTCTGTCATTTCTAAGATTGAAAATCTTAAGAATTATCCTTGACTCCTCTCTTTATCTCATAATACAAATAAAATATGTCAGCAAATCCTCTTGTCTCTATCTCCAAAATACATCTAGAATTTCATTAGTTCCCATCCCTTCCAGTGCTATTACTCTGGTCCAAAGCATTACTGTTTGGCAAGTGAATGGTTGCAATAGCCTCCTAACAAATCTCCCTGCTTCTTTCTTTGTCTCCAGTCAATCAATTCACAACTCAGTGGCCAAAAAAGAGCCTGGAAAATATAAATCAGACAGTTCAGCAATTCCACTCCTAGATATATACCTGAGAGCATTAAAAAACATACATTCATGTAAAAACATAAATGTTCATATCAACATTATTCCAAATAGCCAAAAATGTGAAAACAACCCAAATTTCCATCTATGGATGACTATATAAAAATTGTGTGTGTGTGTGTGTGTGTGTGTGTGTGTGTGTATAATATTATTCTCCTATAAAAGGAAATTAAGTTCTGATACATGGTGCAACATGAAGGAATCTTGAAAATGTTATGCTAACTGAAAGAAGCCAGACACAAATGGCCACATTTTTATGACACTATTTGTATGAAACAGAATACAAATTAGGCAAATACGGAGAGATAGAAAGTAGAAAATGGGGAGTGGATGCTTATTGGGTACAGGATTTCTTTGGGGGGTGATGAAAATGTTCTGAATTTAGATAGTACTTTAAGAATGTAGTGCATTTAATTTTTTTTGTCTGTCTAATTGCTCTGGCTAGTGTTTTAAGAACTAAATTGAATAGAAGTGGTGAGAGAGGGCATCCCTGTCTTGTTCCAGATTATAGAGGGAATGCCTTCAGTTTTTCTCCATTTAGCATGATGCTAGCCTGAGGTTTAGCATATATAGCTTTTACATTGTTGAGGTAAGTTCCTGTTATCCCTAGTTTTTCTAGTGTTTTGAACATAAAGGGATGCTGTACTTTGTCAAATGCTTTTTCTGCATCTATCGAGATGATCATATGATATTTGTCTTTAAGTCTATTGATGTGGTGAATAGTATTTATTGATTTCCGTATATTGAACCAGCCTTGCATCCCAGGGATGAAATTTGCGGATGACATGATAATATATTCAACAGACCCAAAAGGGTCTACAAAGAAACTACTAGAACTAATAAATGAATTCAGCAAAGTGGCAGGATATAAAATCAACACACATAAATCAAAGGCATTCCTGTATATCAGCAACAAAACTTCTGAAATGGAAATGAGGAAAACCACCCCATTCACAATATCCCCAAAGAAAATAAAATACTTGGGAATCAACCTAACAAAAGAGGTGAAAGATTTATACAATGAAAACTACAGAACCCTAAAGAGAGAGATAGAAGAAGATCTTAGAAGATGGAAAAATGTACCCTGTTCATGGATAGGCGGAACTAACATCATCAAAATGGCGATACTACCCAAAGTTCTCTACAGGTTTAATGCGATGCCAATCAAAATCCCAACGGCATTTCTTGTAGAAATAGATAAAGCAATCATGAAATTCATATGGAAAACCAAAAGACCCAGAATAGCAAAAGCAATTCTAAGCAGGAAGTGTGAATCTGGAGGTATAGCAATACTGTACAAACTGTACTACAAAGCAATAGTAACAAAAACAGCATGGTACTGGTACCAAAACAGGTGGGTGGACCAATGGTACAGAATAGAGGACACAGA